GACTTGAGGAAGCGGTCAACAAATACTAATCGAGCCATTGAACCTGCAGGTCGAGAACGAGCAGCGCGCCCAACTACCCTCCCGCCAGGGCGCTAGCCCCGAGCAAACATCCAGCCTCGAGGAGTCCATCTACAAGCTGTCCGCGCAACTGTCCACCGTCTCCCGCAACCAAAAGTACTTCCGCACACGTGAGAACCGTAACTTCAGTACCGTGAGGAGTACCGAGCGCCGTATTTTCAACTTCAGTGTGATTGAGTCTTTGATGATGGTTTCCATGGCTGCGTTACAGGTCTTCGTTGTGCGCTTCTTCTTCCAGGGCGCCCGGAAAGGTATGTTCACTCGTTCCCCCTGTTTGAGGTTTGGATATGGACGCAATTCATGGTCAAATTCGGACTACTGTTTTGCTGCTGCTGTCTATGCCCATTGGAGGATTCGTAATAACATTCTATTGAAACAGGTTACGTGTGATGTGAGCATGAACAATAATATGATGCATTTTACTACCTTCTATGTCTGGCGTGTTGGCCTAGTTATTTCTGTTGCAAAATCTATGATGTTCTTGTCTGTTCGGACCAAACAAAAAGGAAATATAACCAGTATGGTAGTTGGCTTAGAGTCATGGTCGCCTGTTGACCGTAGCATACCAAAGGAGAGCAATTGAGGTGAATATTTGGGGTTTGAAGCAACCTGGATTCAAGCTGAAAGTCTATGTTTTACTAGGTAGGAGGGACTTACATATCACCGTGAACAACGGAGGATGGACTGACACATCAACAGGATCAGAAGTACATGCTCAAAGTTCCTGACGGTATACGTTGTACGCCTCAGTGTCTATGCCGCATGCTTGCAGGGACTTACATCTTACCAGGGGAGGATGAATAGACACATCGACAAGACTAAAAGATACCGGAATCGCGTGTTCGAAAATTCCCGATGGTATGCGTTGTATGCCTCCGGTTCCATAATCCATGCTCGCAGAGTCAACGGGTTTGAAAGACACCAGGGAAGCAAATGCTCAAAATTCCTGACGGTATACGTTGTACTCTCCAAGCTCTATGCTCCACGCTCGCAGGGATATAACCGGTTTTCGTCGAAGGAAGTCCCCGAGGCCAAATGGTCTGTCGCTGAACAACATCGATGAACACTGAGCCCCAGCGTAGTATGTCAGGCAATGGTGATCATTGCTGCATGCTGCACGTTCGCAGGAGTAGAACCAGTTTCTGTTAAAGGAAGGTTTCCATCGGCGAGCCTAGATGGTCTGATGCTGAGTCGAGACCGATGAAAACTTGCGTCAGCATTCCGCTGGACTTGTTCGCACACCTCTGCCGAGACCTATCATACCAGATGACTGCGCAGCCGGGGAAGCGGGTACTCAATGCTGGACGTATCTTTTGAGACCAGAGCGCAAAGCAGAGGCGAAAGCTCACATACTTCAATTTTTTGATATAGTTCTATACGTCAGTTAGACGTTATCTTCCCTGTATATAATGCCAGAAGAGATGGTAAACGCAAGTCCAGATGCATCGATAAATGCTAGTGTGTTGTGTGCTGTCTAGATAAGCACTATCGAACCTGATATTTGATCCAAATCAGGTTTTTTTTGGCATCCCTCGCTGGCCCGCAATATTCGAGGGGCGTGTAGCAATTCAAGAGATAATTAATAATAAATGTGTGGAGATGATATTTTCGATGGACGCCCGGGGGCATCAGGGTAGAGCTTATGACGTGAGACAATGTCGGCAAGAAACAGCCCCATGCAATTAAAACGCAGACAGTGATCTCATATTCTCGCTAAGATATACTCTGTAGCGAGATGTACTCCGTGCAGCATACTTTGTATGCCTTCGTGCGAGCACATCGTGTGGATCGCCATCAGAGGCTGGGGTGTGGTGTCGAATTGTCAATCTCGGGTATCTGACTATCAAATTGATCGGCATGTAGTACAGAGACAAAACAAGCTATGTATTGTGATTCATCTCCGGTACTCTGAGGCTTGTCATAGCCTTATAGGTTCGTACGTAGCTCAGGACCAGACGGGCACGAGATGGAATGGAATAATGAAAATGGTGGACCGTGAAGGCCCGGCTATGATGTTTGTCATTCACTGGTATGTACAGGAAAGGATCCACAAATTCACGTTGCGGTAGGTCTCCATGCTTGTTTGACGCTCTCGGCTGTTGATACAACGTACGTTATCGTATGCTGTCATATATCTGCGATCAGACCCTTGAAGTGGACATGCGATGAAGGAACGGCGGTATGGTTCAAGCCCCATTAGGCTATATTGTAAAGGGGGCCAAGCCATACGTCGTACTCCACATGTTTCTTTGTACTTGCGACATCGCACAGAGATTTAGCCAACTCTGATATCACAGAGTATCATAGTCTCTTCGTCCAATTTGTGAGAAGGCGTCTCTCTAGTCTGCATCGATATCAGTGGCGTAAAGAACCCGCTACAATATATTACAGATTAGAGACTTTGGTCTGGAACGACGCCAGCTAGATTAGACCAATTCTTCCTTAAAAGCAGGTCTGGTCTGAAAAACCAGATGGCCGATCATAACTGTAAATGAACAATATAGGTATTCCGAAATCTTGCCTGACGTTGCTGTGTTGCTTGTTGCTCCTACGTAGATCATTCCTTGTGGCAAAGAAGATCTAATATGTTGGATATGAGCCCCGGCTTGCATTAATATGCCACTCTAAGAATGTAATACTATGTAGTGCGGCCTCTTCAAGTTGAACATGATGTGCAACCGTTGTAGAAGAAAATTGCAGGTGAAATACTCTGATATATTCGGTGCCGATCTTGCAACAATTTGCCTCCCCCAGTGGTATCGCTACATCCAGGGTTCATTGATGGCAAATACATATACCCGTTTTTCGATGCAAACACCCCTGTTACTAACTCCCATGTGTCTTACCACTAATCCTAGCCAACCTCTTTTCTCTAGGAACAAGTTTGGACTACAACATCTGGAGCTTTGTATGTATTCCGATTTCCATATGGGAACGCAATTTGGTCGGGAGCATCGGCTATCGTCAGACTCCATAGATAAATAGGATCTCCTGATTCTAGTAACGTGTCTGAGATTATTCTATTGAAAATTAAACAGATTGTGACGATCTACAATATAGAATAGAGGTGGTGAATATACAATTCAGTCACTATGTATCATTTGAAGATGGTAGATTTGAAGATGAGGGCTCCCTGACGTCAGGTGGTATTATGCCTCAGGCACCAGCGCCAAGACTGTACATTCCCCAAATCACTAGCTCATCAAGCGCATCTCCACACGGCATTTCCATTGCCCTTATTGTCCATTTCCAATTCTAATATCGAGCGAATGAAAACAGTCTGAGAAGTAATTAAAACTTCATCTACTACCCAAATTATGTCCCCACTATGGCTGCAAGCCTCACATGCTTTTCGATACGATATACTTTGTATGTTGTACTTTGTACCGTTTCTCAAGCCCACTCTCAAAATATGTTCCACTATTGATAAACAAATCAGTCCCAAGTATAGAGTATTCCGTATGTAACTCCGATTTCTTGCCATTTCCACAACCGGCGATGCTCGATATGGTTCTTGCAAGATGTGATGTGACCGATAGCCAATCGATTGCTCGGGTCACTTCAATTGCCTAGGGGTATGACGGCATAGGTCTATATTCGGCCTGAGCCTCAGCTACGGCACAGTTTTTTTTTTTTTTTTTGCTTTTGTACAGACGCATTTACTGCTTTTGGTCACACCAACTACATTGATTTGATATGCAGGCTGAGCTGAGTATTGGTTTAGTTTGAATCAACCCATATGCTCCGTGTCAAGGTCTCTCTCTCTCCCCTATGCTCGATCCGCGGAGCTGTTTACCACTCCTACACCGGGTACTCCACCATATATGTCCACATTTTCCCTCTAAAAGAGACCCTATCCCGTAGCCATGCAGAATGCAAGATGGGCCTCGCCCCTCAAAAGCCCATGATAATCCAATTATGATTCGTCTTAGATGTCAGGCGAAGATCTGCAGGGGACCGGACTGTGGTTGTGCCGATCTCAGAAACGCCTCCGGCTCTCAATGGTTAACATTCTCCAGTGACCTCATCGGAGCACTGTGACCCATCCACAGTGGACCGACTGATGATATCGCAGGCAGAGTTCACCAGTCTCCGTGCGCATGTGGATATTAGTTAGCTCATAACGTCCTCTGATGGAAGTTCGACCCCACACTGCGCTATACGAGATACAATAGGCTAATGGTCATTTACAAATACTGTGAGAGTTGGGATTTATGATGCTTCTTATGATGTCGCTAGGAGAGATACCCTGCTCCCCTCTCCCCCCCCTCTTTCGGCCAATTATGTCACCGTACTCCGCTCGGTGTAATCAGTGGAGATGTCGTGTGTTTATCATGGGTGCTCAGAGGAGTAATTAGGCATCTTATTGACCTATCAGAGGCTGCAAATCTGGGCGAGTTTGCCATCGACCATCGCCGATGTGATTTCATACTCCCTTGTGGAGCTTTGAGTGTCTTATATATAAGCTTGCTCGCAAATTGGATACAATTTTTCTTCGTATTAAGCCCTAACTCCTGACTCTGCCCCATAGCACTTGATCTTACCATTTTATATACTCGGCTCGGACAACAAACTCTTTGGACTTCCGCTGTACAACGACATTATTTTGCCTATCCGCGACCCTCCGTACCATTACTATTCAACACAACCGACCAAACTGGTTAGATATTGAAATATTTCAAAATCACAGGTAAGCAAAGTTGAATTGACTGGGAAACCAGTATCATCTAGATTCTCCACAGCACCCGCAACCCACTCACCACCACATGGTGATCGTCCTATCTATCAGCCTCTATCTTTATGCCGTTGCATATTTGAGATGCAGACAACCATCATGCTATTGACCGGCACTTCTGGTGCTGACTGATTCCTAGTCCTGCAAGTTAAGCTGACCGTTTTAATCACTAGATATATTTTTCACCATGACTCACTCCGCTCAAATGCAACAAGCAACTGAAAACATCAACTCCATGTTCCCAGACTCTGGTGGTGTTGACAACATAGCCAGTGAAACTCATGTCGATTCCTACCGGTCGCTGGATCCCTCTAGCTCATCGCTGGAGGACTACAACCGCTCCATGCTGCAGTACACCCAGCGCCAGATGTCTTGCTTTGTTGACATGAATGACTCTCGCCGTGGAAGCCAGAGCAGCGGCAAGAGTGGTTTTAGTATCGCTACTAGCAGCAGCAGTAGGTCCCGACAGGCCAATGAATCTTTCCCTTCCATCAACAATGCTGCTCCCCTTGCCGGGAACAAGCTCAGTGGTCGAGACATGGCCGACGCTAAGTCTGCTGGATATTAGGGCTGTGCCCTTGTATCAAGGTATGTATTTTGCTTTCATCCTGATTACTCCAATGTCTAAGGAAGCTAACGAAAGTGTTTTCAGCGGTACCATCCCATCAAGTCCGTGATCTAGCATTATAACGGTACTTAGCATTCTCGAGGATGGCCGTCTGTGATCGTCAACCATCGCGTATATTTTTCGTCAATGCTTATACAGTTTTATGAGATTCACGCGAGTTAGCGTGCCTGCTTTCAAGCGATATTTTGAACTTTTGGAGTTTGATTTCCCTATCCCCTCGAGACAAGCCGGTGTCATCTACGACATGGTTCATTTCCCAACCCTTTTTACCTTTGCATAGCGTTTTCAGAACATGTCTTTCTCTGTTATCCAACTTGCCCACTGGCTTTCAGGGTCAGATCATGCATTCTTTAACTCTGTTTTCTGCCGTCAAAGAAGTCTTGACTCGCGGTGGTGACCTTTCATTGTCATTCTTTTGTCATCCGGGGCCATTTTGGAGTTTCTCATGACTGGAGGGCAGCCTAGAAACGATATTTCATTCCCGTTTCGATCGTTTCTCGAATACTGTCCATTCTTCTGAAGTCTGGGTAAGGGGTCAACTCACCCCTTCTGCTTAGTATTCCTTCTGTGAAGGAATATTGGCCTGTACATTATCTGTCTTTATACTTCTTTGCAAGCGATTCTTTCTCTTTTTTTTTTTTTGTCTCTTTCTATCTTTTTGGTCTTTTTGTGACGAACCATCTCTTCGAGTCGTGGACACTGGACTGTCCCTCAGGAGAACAATACCCTGTTACGATCCCACATAGCCATTTTGGCTATCTATGACCTGTACAATTATGCGCAACCAAACCGGAGAAATCCGTTTCTCTTCTATTGGTCGGTGTTTTTACTATTTTCTGTCGCAACATCGTCCCCGGGTTTAGAGGTATTTCTCTACGGAGTAGATCCTAGAGGCTTAGCTGTGTAGTCAAAATAATTTGCATCAAATATTCCCCAAAGATTAATGTCTTAAGATTGAGTTGGTGGCTGAAACATATTGACGTCATCACAATACCATTGTGGCTACTAAGATATGTACGGAGTATACATATTTTTGCTAGGTGACCTCTTTTAGATCTGTTTAAGAGTGTAATTTTATTGTTACATCTTTTTTTAGAATTCGATTTTCCAGTCTTGAAATTAACTACATATGTAGGACATACGGCTAGTCCTCGGTTAATACTAGTAGCAACCTTCTCTCTCTTCCGAAGAACATCTTTGACATATGTGTGTAATTTGCTATATTATCGACGTTAATGGATCAAATTCTCTGGCTAATTGCTTCTTAAGGTGCTAGCTTTGACCTCAAAGAACACTTCACTCGTAACAGTTGGCATTGTCGCGCTCTAATGAAGAGCTGCGTGCTTTATGCACCCCTTGCATACCTCTGAAGGAGAATCCAATACACAGGGAATTTGTCCTTCCAGAGTTGCGTCATCGAAGATGAGGTGGTTTAGAGAGGTAATGAAATTACTACTGTTACTAGATTAAATCATTATATGCTCCAATTAACTTCGCGTCACATCGCAGTCAAAATATATATACTTTGTACCAATTGGGCAGAAATCAACATCAGACAATTCCAAGATCGAACCCCACATACTGGACCATGAGCACCCACATGTGCAGAAGAACCAGTGGGAACGATTACCGTGCCTACACATTCCATGTCATTTAACTCGCCGGCGAATCAAGGCCATACCGTGCCTTTCCAAACAGAGGGATGAAACCCCTGGTATCTCGGGATTCGATGATGAGCTAACCAAAATAGTCCAAGGGAGGAACACAGAAGGAAATGCAGCGGGCCTGTCGAAGCTGCGAGGGCCGAGCCAGAACATTGAACAATGCATATATTGAAGATCAATTGGGTTCCTGTTTTTTTTCTCCTTTGATATTTATCCAACAACCTCCCATGACGGCCGATCCGGCGCAGCTCCAGCCATTCATTTGGTCTCACACTCCTTTAATCCATTGTCTCTAACGTTGACATTCATCTCGGATATCCAAGTCTCATACCTCCTTGTCAAGTCGTTCTACAAGTCTATACATACACTCATCCTACACCTTTCATACCTACACCACACGCACGAACAGCACAAAATCAGCAACAATGCACCTCACAGCTCTCCTCACGGGAATTTTGTCACTGCTGTCGGTCACTACAGCCATCCCAATGACGAGCGAGAGCCCGACCCCTACACCCTCCATTTCCAAGTCTCTCATCTCGCCGTCCAGCTCTGCCTCAGCGTCTGCCTCAGCGTCTGCCTCGGCTTCACCTACCCCCTCGCCCAGCGCCTACGAGGCTTACACATGCCCCAAGGGCAATTTCAAGTCCTGCTGCATGTCAGTGCAGCAGACGAGCAAGGACATCATTACACCGCTCGGCGAGTTGGTGCCGCTCATCGGTGGTATACAGATTAGCTCGGCTATATCTTTCCAGTGTATGTTCCTCCCAATCCCTTCTTCAAGGTCACCTCGAAAAACTGATCATTGTATCCTAATCCAACTTACCTTTGTAGGCAAGAAAATGGCTGATAAGGAGGCTCCTGATACATGCAACAAACAAGGTTATAGCCCCATGTGCTGCGACAGTGATAATGCGGTATGTGTCTCATCTTGCCCTGCTTTTTTTTTACATGTTTCCGAGGAAAAGAAGGTCCCTGACGTACGCTTCTCATCTAGGGTAACGGCTTCAACACGTGCAAGCATTTCGAGGATGTTAAGAAGACTTACTATGCTAAGAATATGAAGGATACACCGGAGACACAGGCTGATATGATCATGGACATTCTCACTTAATGTCGGCTATCTGGCTGGCCTGGAACTTTGACATGGGATGAGTGCAGCATGCAATTGAGGGGCTGTATACTGGCAATTGAGGGGAGAGAATGGTGGTGTGCTTTAGTTTCTTTCTTCTTCTCTATTCGATATTATATAAACTGTTTACCTGTTGTGGTTTTGTTCATGGACGTTACGGTGTGTAATTGTAGGTGGCTATTTTCTTACTTGTTTTTATTCTTGCAGGCTATGCTATACATGTTTGTAAATTTCTTCGTCTGCTGGCCCATTAACAAGAGGACCATCGAACTTTATCAAGTTGTACTCCGCATCAGTTGTTGATGTCATCGGGGACATGGCCATGGCCATGATAGCAACTATCCTCCCTGAGATTTCCATCGACATGGCTTGTTTGAAATTACACATGTACCTTGGACCTAAGCGCCCAGGTACACCGTGGATATTATTGTTTAGTAGCGGACTTACTTGAAATGGAACAACAATTACATGTACTCTTTCACATTGTTTTAAATGAACATGAATAGCCCGCTGCGGCGGGGCCGTAATCATACAACCGCAGCATTGGAAGACCAAAGGCCTTCCACTCTGACTCGATTTGAGTCGACTCCATTTCACGCGTAACTCTTACATCATTCATGTGCACATACATATGTCTATTTCCATCCCCGCCCACCCTGGGGAGGTGGTCCCCATGGCCCACCCTGCTGACCCCCAGAGTAAGGAGGGGGGAAGTGGTGCTGGTTAGGGGGCATCCCGTACTCCTGCTGCTGTCCCTGGTTCTGTCCCTGTTGCAGAGAGGGATGATGGTGGTACGGAGGGGGGAAGGCAGATGATGAGGATCCGGGCCCTGGTGGGGGGAAGGGCATATGCGGAGGCGGAGGAGGCCAAGAACCGTAGTTGGGTGGAGGTACTTGGGCGTAGCCGGTGTTGGGACCCATGGGAGGATGAGCATATTGTCCAGTTGGGGGGTGGGTAGGGGGGAAGGAGTTGATAGGTGCAGGGGGATGTTGAGGATGGTGAGGGGGCGGGAAGTGTGAAGTGGGCGGTTCACGAGGTGTGTATGAACTTTCGCGGCTGCGTGAGCGCTGTGGAGAGCGGCTTTTCGATCGTCTGTTACGGTAATGGCGGAAGCCATTTCTGTATGATCGTGATCCACTTGGAGAATTCGACTCGGACCGGCTGCTGGAGCTGTCACTGTAGCGTCGGCGCTTGTGATTAGTCCGCGAATGACTGCGGCTGCGAGTTCGACTGCGGCTTCGGCTGCGCGAGTCCTCGGTATCTGTGTCTGTGGCTTGAGAGAATTCAAGAGACCATCCGTAGTAATGTTCGCCATCGAGGATATCAGACGTGTTCTCACCCCGGGTGACTTTCTGCCCCGCCTGATCGGTGTCTGTATGTCTATCATCCCGGTGAGTTTCCCGGTCGAAAGAATTGTTCACATCAGCAAAAAAGGCTTTGAGTGTTTCCACCGACTTTCGGCTGGCGGGACCTGCTAGTAATTGTATCGGTCTTATGGCATCGGTTTGAATGGGAATAGTCGAGTTGGGAATAATGTGAGGATAAATGTTGCCCACACGAATTTCATGCCAACGGGTGGATAGATCTCCATGTGTAGATGGTACGATAAAGGGTACATCCTTGCCGGACTTCTTGGCTGGGTTTAGCTCGGCCGTATCGTTGGAGGGTGGGGGGCCACCCATGGCTACAACTTCGCGAAGCTTATTGACCAGATCGGGATGAAAGTATTCGTGCTCAGACCAGACATCTAGCAGATCATCTAGCCGTCGATGGTGACGTGGGTTCTTTTGACGATCACTTGTCGCTGCGTGACCGACCAAGTTCACGAGATGCAACTGCAGGGACCCGCTGACTGTGGAGAAGGTCGTAGTGGTGCCTAGATGATACTTGCAATGATGTAACAGATCGTTAAGCAAGTAAAGGATGTGGAGGCGTTGGCGCTTCGGTGACAATTTGGATCCAGTGGGCTGTGGTTGGAAGGATGCAGCGAGAGCATCCAGGTAGTTAACCAACCCCCCAACCCTATTGGATGAAAAGGCAACCTGGCGCAGCAACCAGGCTTTACAGGTCTGTATGGTGAAAGAATTGTTTAGTAAGCAAGAAGTTGAGAGTTAAGAGGTGAAAACGGGTCAGACCTGAATGTTGACTGGGGAGCAATGCGACAGCGCGCGCTCGAGGGAGGTGTGGAACGCGCTTATCTCATCTAGAGGAACCGAAGTAGGATCAGGGCGCAATAGACAAGCTGCGAATGCAGCCTTCAGGATAACAACGTTATGAGCTGCCATGATGGTCAGAGATTTCTTGGAAGAAGAAAAGAAAGTCCAAAGTTCGCGAGGTCCAACCTTGGGAAGTCTCCCCATTTCATGATCGTTATCGAAGCTTTTATCGCACGTGATGTATACATCTCCGGAGAAAGGCGGTCTACCCGGCCCTTCGGCTTTCGCCCCGCACCACATTTTCTAATTGCTTTATAAAGAACTGGCACGTAATATAGTGCCTCAGGTATATACTACATACACATTGTACCAAGAATTGTAGTACCTCAGGTATACTCCGTACACTAACGTAATCCACTACCGAGTGACGCACACTACCGAGTGACGCACCCCCTCCCAAAACGCGTCAATTAATATAACCCTCTCTCTTCAACCACCCACTATGCCACCAATTCGTTCTCGATCGTCTAAAGATTCAACCGAGCAAGAGGGTAGGATCTTATTAGCTATCCAAGATTTTAAGAATGAAAAATTCTCTTCAATTCGTGAAGCTGCGCGCTGTTTTAAAGTGCCTGAGGCTACCCTCCGCCGCCGCCTCCGGGGTGTTCAAAACCGCGCGATTTTACGCGCTAACTCACATAAACTGACTGAGCTTGAAGAGCAATCTCTTGAAAAATGGATACTCTCTATGGATCTACGTGGAGCAGCCCCCCGGCCTGCTACTGTACGAGAAATGGCGAATCTTCTTCTTGAAAAGCGCGGATCTAGCCCGGTTCTTTCGGTTGGCGAAAATTGGGTTACAAAATTTGTTAAACGACGTCCTCTTCTCTCCTCTCGTTTCTCGAAACGTTATAACTACGAGCGTGCGAAATGTGAGGATCCAAAAATTATAAAGGAGTGGTTTGATCTTATTCAAAAAACTATCCTACAATTTGGGATCGATCCGGATGACGTTTATAACTTTGATGAGACGGGTTTTGCGATGGGATTAACGGCGACTGCGAAGGTTATTACGAGAAGCGAATACTACGGTCGGCGAGCACTTTTACAACCTGGAAATCGTGAATGGGTGACGGCTATTGAGTGTATAAATGCTACTGGTTGGGCCCTTCCACCGTGTGTGATTTTTAAAGGCAAAGTCTTTATTGAATCCTGGTTTGACGGCCTCCCGGACGATTGGCGATTTGAGGTTAGTCCTAATGGATGGACCTCTGATGAAATTGGACTTCGCTGGTTAAAAAAGCTCTTTATTCCTACCACTTCTATACGTATGAAGGGGGTATATCGGCTTTTGATACTTGACGGCCACGGAAGTCATTTAACCCCGAAGTTCGATGAAATCTGTGAAGAAAACAAAATTATACCGATCTGTATGCCTCCGCATTCCTCTCACCTTTTACAGCCTTTGGATATAGGCTGTTTTGCGGTGTTAAAACGCTCGTACGGCCGGCTGGTTGAAGCAAAAATGCGGGTTGGGATAAATCATATTGATAAACTTGATTTCCTCGAAGCATACCCTCTCGCACGAATTGAAGCTTTTAAATCAGAGACTATTAAAAACAGCTTCGGAGCAGCTGGTTTAGTCCCTTTTACACCGGAGAGAGTGATTTCGAGGCTTGATATTCGTCTTCGAACCCCTACCCCCCTTCTAGCCGGGGTAGTGATTGGGATCCAAAAACACCTTCGAACTATGTGCAATTGCAAAAGCAAGCCTCCTCAATAAAAGCACTACTTCGTACGAGATCAAGGAGCCCCCCTAGCCCGCTCAATTCCGCTATCAACCAGGTTTTAAAAGCCTGCCAGATCACGATGCATTCCGCCGCACTACTAGAGAAAGAAGTGAGCGATTTACGCGCTGAAAACGAGAAGAAAAAGCAAAAGCGAACCCGATCTACAAGGACGATAGTCCACGAAGGGGATCTCTCAGTTCAGGATGTTCGTGAGCTACGTTCAGAGCCATTTGAGGCTCAAGTAGCGCGTATCAACAACTATCGTGAGCAGGTTTCGGAAGGTTTAAGGCCGCCCCCCCAGGCTGGACGAGCATGTGGAATATGTAGGAAGCCAGGACATAGGAGAGAGACATGTCCAGATAGATGATGATTTTAGTTTATTTAATTTAATGGCGTTTTGGTTGAGATAAATGCATTTGAATTCAGGAAGTTGGGTGGGGGTGCGTCACTCGGTAGTGTGCGTCACTCGGTAGTGGATTACGTTACTCCGTACACCAAGAATTATACCTAGTGCCTAAGGCAATAATCGTACTTCACTCATTTTTATAGCTATTAAATACTATAAATTAAGAGGATTGATTAATTATGAAGTAGTATTTGGAGTGAAACTAAGTAAGCATAACAGAGTTAATATATATGTTCGTAATGTAGATCCATAGCTACCTATATGTTATGTTTATTAGATTTTACTCTTAGAGTATAGAGAGACATGATAATTCCGGAACTAAGTTCCCGATCTATATCCATATTCCCGTACTCTTAATACGGTGAAGCCCAAAGCGTTCCAAATCCCCACAAATTTTGCGACTTGAACCCCCGCGATGGCGTTGCTCTATACTCCGATATGAGACATGCAGTGATTCTATTTGATGGGAAAAGATGTTGATCAGCCATAACTAAGTCATAACTAAGCCGTAAAAGCCACCTGGGCAGTGTTAAGTGTCTGATCACGAATGTTCTCATCGTTGATCAGGCCATATGCCCCGCCCCCGGGTCACTTGCGCGATTGAATGGCCTGACTGCTAATTTGCTTATAAAAGTCTTTCCTATTTCATCATCTTTTTTTTTACATTTACAGTTACTCTCAGATCTAAAATCCGATCCTCTCAGGTCAAAATTCGATCCTCTTAGATCAAAACCCGATCAAAATCCAATACTGCAAAGTATACCAACCTTCCATTCTACACTATGGCTTCCATCGCCTCCCAAATCGCCCGTCCCTCCATCCGTCACTTTTCAGCCCACCGACCTCGTCCCGACTCTCGCGCTGTCCGCGCTGTCGCCATGGGTTGCATTGTATCAGGTGTGGTACTCCCATTTGTTCCACCTGCTCTAGAAAGCTCGCGACAACGGAGCAAGGGCATATCCACCAGCGCCAAGTAAGTCATGGAAATCTACCATGTTTTACTCTTGCAGTTAATGCGCGCTGGTGTGGAGAAACTAACCGAGCATACAGGAACCCCCCACTTTGCTTTCATGCGCGCTAGACACTGTTTGACGACTCGCAATTTTGACGGGGACTGTCGGTGCAGGCGTTGACAAGAGACACCCGGCTTGCGACATGATGCATTATGCCCAAGGAGTTTGAAGTTTGGCGTTTTGTTCTTTTTTTTTTGACTAGCACAATGGGATAGTGCTATTATTACACATTATTACACATTGTTACTATTGAGAGTGGAGATGATTAGACCTCTCTCTATCATCGCGATGAATGACAGTGATCATTAGATGGTCAAATTTTGCGCGAATTGATCCATTAGTGAATTGACTTGCAGCTCGAGTGAGATGCTACCATTGAGAAACGAACCAAATGTAGTACGAAGTAGATTGAGTCCGATGAAATCCCTGTCTCCATATTATCCAATTTGTTCCACAATCCTCTATTTTTCAGTTTGCGTACGGAGTATTCCAAATCGAAATGTACAACGCGGCCAGTCTCTCAGCTAAACCGGTTCCCACTCGGAGGCCGATAGGGCTGCGAGGCTTCATACTTCCCCTTTTCCAACACACGGTCGGTCTCGGTTAAGGGTTCATGTCGGGTAGGCGCCGGATCCTGGGAACCTTCAATACTGGGCGAGGCGGTCTCATCGGCATCCTGGAATCGCGCCATGCTCGCTCGCTTCGAGCTAGTGTCGTTGCCTGGAGTTGGTGTGGGCGGCAATTGCGCTTGGCGCTTGTGCTCATCCTCCATACGCTTCATTTGGGCCTTGCGCTTGACCTCAGCTTCGAATCGGGCTTGTCGGTCGGCGTTGATTGATTGCTTCGCAAAATAGTACGCTCCGCCACCGGCTGCATGGGGGAACGGTTAGTCACTCCTTTGCATGTGAATCGCTGGATTTGTGACTGGTAATTGGCCAGCGGTTAATTGATAGGTCACATACCAAGGCAAAGGGTGCCCCAGCCCATCCTGTTTAAATGAGAACCACATCAGTAATCATGTTCCGGGTTGTTCGGATTTCATCTTTTCAGATAGAGGTATCATTGCTCACCAGGTTGATCGAATCTAGAGTACCACATGATTAGCGATGTTCAAGAGGCATTAGACAAAGGAAATTACCGTATTCATGGCGAACAATCTGGTCGTTTTTAGATATGTGAAGCAACAGAAAACGTTTGAGGATGCTCTACGTCAGTTGAACGGCTATGCACGGACCAATTATTGTCATTGGTGCCTCAGGCCAATGATTATCAACCATCGCATCGTCTAAGGTTTGGAATTAAGGACGACTTCTGCCTTGATCCTTCTCTTCATCATATATATCTTGTCGCTTAGAGCGATCTCCCACTCCCGCTGAACACTTTTTCTCTTCTAACACCGACATCTACCCCGTTGTTTTGCAATAAACGGTTGACCTTTTTTTTCCGCCGCCTGTTCACCCGGCGCAGCATCTTGGTTCCATGCTGGCGTGAGATACCTTCAACGGAGGCGTCGCTCCGTCTCACCGGGGGCTCACTCACCAAGATACTATCTGATCAGCACGCTTTTTTTTTGTTTGTCGCGCTGAAGCAGTCCAAACATGCCTCCCAAACGCAAAGCCGCTGACAGTAAGTCTCCGGTACATATCTCTAAACGACAGGTGACTGATTATATCCAGCCGGTCGGTCGAGCGGTGCTTCAAAACGGGCTACACCAGTCCCCGATATCGAAATTTCCAGCAGCGATGAATACTCGGACCAGGAAGACTTGCCAGAGGAATCTAGCTTGAAAGGTACAGTGTGGCAGTCTGCTCACCTAAAGTGAACCAGGGACTAAAATTAGAGCATAAAGCGGTCGTCAATAAGTTTTCTCTCGAGGCGTTCGGCAAGAAGAATCAGGTGGAGAAGACGGACCCCAGATTTGGATACAAAGATCTTTCTTCGCTCCCACTGAAGCGCGACCACTACAACCGGCCATTATGGATCGAGCCTTTGAAGGGCACAATCACCCTCGAGAGTTTCTCCCCGCTGGCACCCCAGGCCCAAGATTTCCTGACCACCATCGCGGAACCGCTTTCTCGTCCGACCCATCTCCACGAATATCGCTTGACCGGACACAGTTTATATGCTGCGGTTTCGGTCGGTCTCAAACCGCAGGATATTGTTGAGTTCTTGGACCGTTTGTCGAAAACACCGCTGCCCGAAAGCATTCGGACATTCATCATCGAGTTCACAAAGTCCTACGGAAAAATCAAGATGGTGCTGAGGCATAATCGATACTATGTGGAAACGACAGATCCTGAAATGCTTCAGCGGTTGCTAAAAGATGAAGTGATTGGCCCTCAGAGAATGGATAACACCGAAGGAATCATTGAACGGGCTGCCCCGAAAATGGGCGGTCTTGTCATTCCTGGAACGAAAGATGCAGCCGGTGTACGAGAGACCACTCAACAGGAGGCTGCCGCAGCCGTAGTCAGAGATGAAACCGAAGAAGGAGGGGCTGTCAACTATGGCATCGACGACATTGGCGAGGATGAGACTGAAGAAGCAATCACGTATAGTTTCGAAATCCCCGCTGCTGGTGTCGAAGTGGTCAAGGCTCGCTGCCAATCGATCGGATGTCCTGCCCTGGAAGAATATGATTTCCAAGGAGACACAGTTAATCCAAACCTGGATATGGATTTGAAACCTGCGGCCCGGATTCGGTCCTACCAAGAGAAGAGCTTAAGTAAAATGTTCGGTAACGGACGAGCCAAGAGTGGTATCATTGTGCTTCCTTGTGGTGCGGGTAAAACCCTTGTGGGTATCACTGCTGCGGCGACCATCAAGAAAGGCACGATTGTCCTCTGCACCAGTTCTATGTCCGTGGTTCAGTGGCGAAATGAGTTCCTGCGGTGGACAACCATCGATCCAGGTGATATCGCCATTTTCACGTCCGACCATAAAGAAAAATTCAAGCGATCAACCGGTATTATTGTGTCCACATACTCAATGGTGTCACAGACCCGTGCCCGGTCTTATGACGCCCAGAAGATGATGGACTGGCTTCAATCGAGAGAATGGGGTATGATGATTCTTGATGAGGTGCACGTTGTGCCGGCATCGATGTTCCGAAAGGTCACATCCGCTATCGCCGCACAGAGTAAGCTTGGTCTCACTGCAACACTACTGCGTGAGGACGACAAGATCAAAGATTTGAACTTCTTGATCGGACCGAAGCTCTACGAAGCAAACTGGATGGAACTTGCTGCACAGGGCCATATCGCCAAGGTCCAATGTGCCGAGGTCTGGTGCCCGATGACCACCGAGTTCTACTCTGAATATTTGCGAGAAAGCTCTAGGAAACAGGCTCTTCTGTACATCATGAACCCTCGCAAGTTCCAAGCGTGTCAGTTCCTGATCGATTTCCACGAGAAGCGCGGCGATAAGATCATCGTGTTCTCTGACAATGTCTATGCCCTCGAGCGATATGCGCTCAAGCTGAACAAGGCTTACATTTACGGTGGAACTCCTCAAAATGAGCGCATGCGTATCCTGGAGAATTTCCAACACAATGAGCAGGTCAACACTATCTTCCTGTCTAAGATTGGTGATACCTCACTCGATCTACCTGAGGCCACCTGTCTGATCCAGATCTCGTCTCACTACGGTTCGCGTCGTCAGGAGGCTCAGCGCCTGGGACGAATCCTACGAGCTAAGCGTCGAAATGACGAGGGCTTCAATGCTTTCTTCTACTCGCTCGTATCCAAGGACACTAATGAGATGGTCTACTCGGCCAAACGCCAGGCATTCCTGATCGATCAGGGTTATGCTTTCAAGGTCATCACCCATCTCCAAGGCATAGATAATTATGAAGGACTCTCTTACTCGACGCCAGCGGAGCGCCGCGAGCTTTTGCAAGAAGTCATGTTGCAGAATGAGTCGTCCGCCGACGTCGAACAGGTCAACGATGATCTATTCTCGATGCGCTCCGGCAAACGAGTGACATCCAAGAAAGGCGGGGCTAAACGGAGTGCTGCCACTCTTAGTGGTCTGGCTGGTGGTGATGATATGGCCTATATCGAGTACAACAAGAGCAGGAACAAGCAGCTCAAGGATAAGGGGCACCATCCGCTGTTCAAGAAGATGGAACGAGACCGACAACGTCGCAAGAAGGAGAGGGAAACCGAGGGCTGAAAGCTGAAATTCGTTGCTGTTTTTGGTTCCTTTTCTTGGACGCGTAGTCTTTTGACCTTAATCTTGCACCCCAGAATGAAATATACCCCACCAATGATATTCACAAAGAATACTATTCAAAACAAACAAGTTAAAAAAGATCATTTTATGTTAGGTAACCTCTAAGGCTAGACCCAGAAATCTCGTAATCATCAAATAGATTTATATGATAGAGCAACCCAGACCTAGAACTCTTGTAATCATGAAATAGCCCAAGGAAGTAACATAAAGTACGTCAGCAAGACCGGTCTAGAAAACGCCTGTACTGCTTCCGACCAAATGACGTTGGCCATGGGTAACTACTCCCGACTTCTCCGCCTTTTACCCTTGTATAATTGTACGACTCTGATAGGCTCCATTATTGATGAACTGCAGGTCAATTTCTTGGAGAACTATCTAGCGACATATCCCTGACAGTTGTACAGGTCTAAATTATTAATATAGTCTATGCATGGACCGAATGGCTCAAGCTATATAAAGGACATGCTTCTCGGCCTTCTTCGGTGTCACAAACATCATTCATTCGGATCAAAACCCGCAGCTACAAATAAGAGTCGGCTTCTCTCACTGAATAGTACTCGCTGCTATTTCAGTTTACACTCACCGTTTCAAACAACCTGCTCTTCTGCTTCGATATCTCCACCTGCTCCACCCCTCCCGCGACTAGCCGTTCGGCACATCTCGTGTAGTTCCAGTACCGGGAACATTTCCCGCGGCACTTCGTCCAGAATGGCTACTGCCACTAAGATCCAGCTGTCGCCAGTGACAGACGCAGGTATCTACAACTCAAATGTGAGGGAAGATACTGCGCAGATAGCGAGCGAGATCTTGCAGCAAGACATGGCCAGCCACCATGTCTTCTTCAATGACAAACGGTTCCACAGTATGTGTTTTTCAGGATAAATCCTCGCCACTAATTATCTCTAATGTAGAGACAGACCACATTCCTCATCATATCCTTACTATCTATGCTCTTGGTGCAGCACCAGAGGACATCAAGGCTTGCGATGAGCGAGATAAGACTTATCAGAGACCCGCCTTTCCAGTGAACCAAGACATCGTCCAGTCTATGCATGATGTCGCTAAGTTTCAGGAGTACTTTGGGAAGGAAGAAAATTACCCTCATTATCTCGCTTTCTTCCAGCATGAGATTGATACCAAGGGCGTTACTGGGGTTCTGGGAGAGTATCTCTTCGCGGGAGATGAGCGAGCCGAGAGTATGATGTGTCGGCTGTTTGCTGGTAAGTATTTTTTCTAGTTATACTGAGTTATATTGGTATTTTATGTTCTTCGGGCTAATCAATTCAGGCCTCGTCCACCCCCTCATCCACCTTGGCTTCGGTATAGAGTTCAACCAGCCTGCCATTGTAGCTCAGGCCCTTGCCCAGACAGCAGTGCACGATGATTGGATTGGTCATGCATTCTTCCTACCGGCGGAGAAGATGGCTGGCGGGGTCGGGAAGCCCGGACAGAAATCCCTGCTCCAGCTCGTTAATGAGATCCGGGCTGACAAGGCTCTTGTTGAGAGTGTTCAGTGGACTGACGGTAATAAGATTAAGGATGGAGTGCTCCACCGAGCACCTGAGAAGATGATGAAGTATGCTTCTCAATACACTGTCTCTGAGGACCAGGTGGAGGAACGGGTGGCGGATATGATCAATACAGTCGGTAAGTTTAGCCTTGGAAGTACTTTCTGGTATTGTTTGAGTGATGCTAGCAAGGAGCTATTGCTAAATATATACCGTCAGCCTACTACACCAGTGCCGCCCAGAGTCCGAACAGAGAGATGAAGCTTGATTTCTTCCTCTTGCATTGTGTCAATGCGTCTATCTTCTTTTCCAAGATTATCAATCTCCCATTCATGACCCAGCAATCCAAGCTGCGCATGATGGAGTGGAAAGGACGCATCGATCTCCTAATGTATGTTTCACGTGGATCGCCAGAGCTTCTGCTGGACCAGGTAGCCAATTATCCCATAAAGGAAGATTGGCCACAGATATTCGTGCGAAGCATCGCCCATCCCGGTGATGATGGACATCTAGCTAAGCTAGCGCGGGCTCTGGCACATGGTCAGAAAGTCTGCCAGACATATGAGAGCAAAATCCCCGAGATGCCGATCAAGGGAGATATGTGGCTTAGGATTGGCAATATAGGTAAGCAGCCGGACCTGATATTACCTAGATACACATTTGCCCCCCTACTAACTACTCGATAGCCGTTGATTCCACTGTGGAGGAGGGAGATAAACCAATGTGGATTCGATTTGCTGGATTTAAGGAAGCATGGGAGGCTCAAAGATAGGCACTTGTGTGAGTTGGGAAACACATTATCTTCATTAGGATATTTTTTTCCGTCCCTCTTTCTACCATCTCCCAGAATGTTTCTACCACCTGGTACTAAATTGATATAAAGACATAAAAAATTTCAAAGCATCCTTCCGATTAATTAGTAGTTAATTTACTCTGTATGTCAAAGATTATACATAGAAACAGCATCTACACATTTTATGCATTTCACTGGCTTTGTATGCATCTGAAAAGACATCTCAAAGCACGTCAGCGTTTTATTACATACAATGTCCTAAATATGATGGGACAAACATACCTATGTAGTTAACAACAGTGGCTGCATGAGCGGACTATTCTTGTAGAAGTACATACATAAATACACAATGCAAAACGGGAGGATAATAGCCAGATGAGTCTTCCCTCATGCTGCTGTCCTGCGCCCCTACTTTGTACACGCCTTCCAACGTTGGTGTCAGATTCCGGACCTTTTTCTGACATTTGACTGACATATGCAGGTTGAAACAATCATCTGCTCTTTATGATTGAATAAAATGCCTTTTTTGACTTCAAATAAGGATACACGGTATCCTGAATTCAGTCTATCGATCTTATTAATGGTTGTTGGTCCCCATGGATTGCATACGCACATAGTAGTACATGTAAATTGTACCCTGCTGCATTTGCTGGAAACACCTAACCCTGGCTTTTTCTGTATTTAATTAGTTGTATGCATTTGAATAAATACAATATTTATTACTGGTGGCATGTAAGTTAGTACTGAACCTGGATACCTGGGTAGATGTTAGAGACTTCTATATATAAGGCTCTCTTACTCTCAGCTCGAGAATTCTTGAACTGCAGCTTTTAAAAAATTTAATGCATTTTGATACTTTGCCCCAAAGACTCATCAGCCTTATTGCAGTCTATTTGCTAGTGACATAGCTTATAATTCAATAGCTTACTCTTCGTTCAACCAGCCTACGGACATTTCAAATGTACCCGAGGAACTTGACTTTAGTGCTTTTTTGAATTATCCACAATCTTATTTTGTTCATTAATTTCACCCTTTCATAGCTGCTGAGCAATCTCTAAACTATCTTCTATACAATGGTATAGCGTATCACGATTAATCGAGCAAGCTCTCTAGGAGTGCATTTATTATATAATTATGGAGAAGCTCTTTTGTACATTGCAGTTTTCACCATGCTTCGTACAGTTCATGGCTGATTATTCTAAACAGAGATTTATAGGCATCTAAAAATACATTTAGAAAGAAAATCGTAAGAATATCTGAAGAATATCAGAAGGAGACATCATAGTAGAATACTAATTGAAACGTCTCGAATACCACATTGGACTAATTGGATATCCGGATCATCTAACCCCTGTATCGTTAAGTATAGAGGCGGTATAAGTTGAATATTCCGCTTCCAAAGACATATGAGAACACTAGACACATAATCTTGGACTTTTATCCCCATACTTTGGAGGTTGAACTATGGTTCCAGGCTATATCTGTAGTGGGGCCTAGCCTTGGAATGACGCCAGCGGCTCAATGTCGTGTTTGTATATGTAAAGTAGTATACCTGTTAAACAGTTCTGAAGTTGAAGTAAGTTAGAATGAGAAAATCACAGAGATTAGTTATATCATAAAGTCACATAGAGAAAGAGGAACATTGAAAATCATATGAACAAAACAATATCGAAAAAAAAACTAAGGCAAATACCAAAATACATTGGGGATCACGTGGTATAGAGTGGGGCTCCCCAACATGTATTCAAGTCTGCGCCTCTTCGCGTTTCCTTCCCTCAGCCTATCAGGGTAGTATCTATTGTTATTATCTGATCTTATCATAAAACATGGGCAACGGAGACACCAACCGCAAGGACATTTCGACCCAGAAGGACTGGCCTGATGATGAAAACAACCCGTTCGTCGCCTTCCGGCGCTATGCCGACGAGCAGGTCTCCACCATGCTTCAATCTATCACGGGCCTCCCTTCGATGATGACACAACCTCAAAATGGTAACTGGGGCATATTTGCAGATGATCATAGTTATGCAAGTCGGATGGCTCATCAACGAACCGGTGATAATACGGGCAGTGCCGGTTATCCAACAGACCGAGACAATGGAAGTGGTTATTCGGGCAACAGAGATGGAGATGATCCGCGCAACTATGGAAGGCATTCACGACCACGCTGGCCCGAGAATGATGATCCGAAAAACTCTCAATCGTGGGGAAATTGGGGTAATGGATCATCCGACTTTTTTGGCCTCGATTCCTGGCTTGAGGACCATTTCTTCCCGTTTGCATCGCAACTTCTACACTCTGGCCACAATCTCCTCGTCCGGGATATGTTTGAGGACACCGACTCGCCAACATGGCCGATCGCGTATATCATGTTCAGCCCGTACTCGCCTCTCCATCTAGAACGCCAAGCACAATATCGAGCGCACCCTGAAAGGGGCGTTTTCTCATCTATCATGTCAACTTTGCATCTCAACTCCGAACGCGACACCTCCGAACCACAGTGGCGAGAAGCCTTCGAGGATTTACTTCGACTCGAGAACGATATGCCGATGCTTGATCGCAATGCCTCCGTCACGAGATCCGAGTCCGGAAAGGACTGGCTAAAAGGGCTTGTGAAAAGAGGTAGCTTGGGAGATAAGTGGAAGTATGTGAATGGCAGAGATAGCCAGCCTTGGTCAGGCATTACGTTCTCTGGCCTTGCAGGCCCACAGCAGGACCGCCCTCGGTCTCGGTCTCTACCCGAGAAAGCGAACGAATCTGTAGATACAAAGGAGGCCGAGAGCGAGCTGGAGCTGTATGAGCGCTTCTTGCATGATATCGAAAACCGCGAACGTGAATTCTTCCGCGGTGTCTCTGAAAGCCCTCTTCTGCGTCTCCTCCTCGATGAACGACGGCAGCAACAGGACGAACTTGAGAGATATAGACGCAGCCCTCCAAAGGCCAAGGATGAGCACAGCCGTGATGACAATGAGAATTGGATCGATCTTGTGTCTGGTGGAAACAGAAAATCAGTTCCTGAAACACCCAAGGATTCGCCGACCGAGATTGAGATAAAGCCAATTGAAGCTGTCTCGGAATCAGCGCAGCCTCGCATAATCTCCACTATGACTCGAACAGAACGCGTGCGGCTCCCAGATGGCTCTGTTGAGAGCAAGACTGTCAATACAAGACGTTTCGCAGATGGCCGAGAGGAAAGTGACGAGTCTGTTGAGGTGTCTCATCCCCAGGAAGGTTTCAAATCAGAGTCTGACACATCGAAGAACTCGAAGAGTGGTTGGTTCTGGAAAGACTAGGACTCTGTTTGAACAATATCTACGATGAACGACTATGTTCCCTGGTTATGACCTTTAACATGACCTCATTTCCTGTCTGGCACTTCAGCGCGTTTCTTCAATGTATCATTTAGCTATTCTAGGGTTTTCGGATGGCGTCTTTTTTATATTTGCAAATTGCTTCCGAACTTTCCTTCGAGCCACTGGCTCTGTGTACATTTAATTGTTGCCTTTCTCCCCTCATGCTACTTGGAAAAGTAAATACCAGCTAGTTTGATATATTATAGGAGATAATACAAGTCCATAAATTAACCATTCTTAATTGCTATTGAGATTGTAATATCAAGCAAGACCTAAGTCAGGTACACGGAACATCTTGAAAACTTTAAAACAAACACGATCTACCTCTAATCAGCCTTGACACTCTTCTTCGCTCCCTTGCCAGTAGTCCATCCCTTAGATTCCCAGTACTTAACATTCTCTTCCATCTTCTGGTACGCCCAGGTAAACGGCGGGTCTACACAACCAAAATTAGCACGCAACCCACAAACCCGAGAATGAGAAAAACATACAAAGGAACTGCCTCAGATCATGACGATTGTCTTCGGGCGAGTACTGCTCAGCATGGTAGCTAGGCGTAAGAACAGTCATCTTATGTCTGTTGATAGAGTAGTAGTAGAAGAAATGGCGGGTTTTCTCGTAGATCTCGCGCGGGCTGTACTCGTTGCCCCACAGGTGGAGCAGCTTCTCGTACATAGAGTAAGGCCCGAGCTTGGACACCTTTCTCAAGTATCCGAAAACGCCCAGCTGCGCGTACGTAACGCCCATGTCGGCCTCGTCGGATTGAACGTAGTCGTGCGTGATAGGCTCTAACTCGGCCGTGGGTGTTGCGTGGATGAATTCTTCGAGGATTGGGAGGCCGAAGCTTCGGCCGGACCAGGAAATGAATTTCTTAAGGTCTACTTTGCTTATGGAGCCGATGGGGTTGAGCTGGTTGTTTTGATTAGTCGGGAATATACGTGGTGCTTGGACTTGGGGAAATTGATGCTTACATCGGCGGAGCTGGCATCGTACTTGGTGAGGTAGCCTCGCAAACTAGATGGGTTGAGTCAGTCATTAGGAAGTGAATTAGTGTATTTATGTGGCGTACCATTCTGCAATAACGGTTAGTGAAGATGCTCAATAAGTACGAATGTTGTATTTGAGAGACTTACCATCAACATTGGAAGATGCGAGAACGAGCAAGCCACCACCGCCAGGGCGTTGACGCACAGTCGGCAATAACGAGGCAAACAGATATGAGAGAACCATTCTGAGCCGAGCCTGCACATTCTGAAGCGCGGCATTCTCTGCGGGAGATCCACCGTGCATTTTGAAACGAGGCTGGAAGTTGGTGATAACAGTGAAGAGATTCATGATAGAAGTGACCACAGTATCGAAATTGAAGTCAATGTGGTAAGAACCAATATCACTGGCTAGTCGTGCCGCTCTGTCGCGTGTCTCCCGGCCTGAATTTTGTGTGCCCATGTAGCTAGTATGGAAGATGGATCTGAAAACATTAGTCAATGTTGCTCTAGACCAGGACAAGAATTTGGCTTGACGCAGGCTCAACACTTGGAAGACTTACTTGCAAATTTCCTGGGTAGTGGTAGGAAGCCAGTCCGAATCTGCTGGCTGTGCACACAACCGGCGGACATCCTTGATGACCTGCTCATTTCCTTCTCCCACTGCTTTGAGCACTTCGCGACACATGGAGTGCACAATGATTGCCGTGGCACAGCTGTCAATACCACCGCTCAGAGGGAGGAAGAAACCGGCAGCTCCACATCTTCGGAGGTAATCCCATAGCCAGCAGGCAGGTCCCAGAGCAATCTCCTCCTCGGGAGGATGGTACCGAGGCTTGATAGGCTGAGCAGTCGCGAGGCTAGGCTCAGCATCTTCATCCCGGCGAGAGAGTCTGATGTCAAGATCAAGGCGGACATAGGGCGACTGCTTGCTCGCTTGCATTCCACGGCTTGCGCTGCACCGGTAGGTGCGGACTTCTTCAATGTCGACCGTTGCAGTGACGACTTCCACATCGTTCAGAGAGAACTGCGAGCCTTGGGCCACGATGTCACCGTTGACGACAATCATAGCACATCCGTCATAGTACAGACGATCACCGTCACAGCCTTGCTGGTTGGCATAAAGGTAGATTCCGCCGCTCTGTGAAGTGTAAGAAAAGTGTTATACAATTATTGTAACGTTGTTTTTTTACTCACCAGTTTGGTAGCCTGGGTGATCAAATTGATCCGAGTGTCAAGCTTCTTCAGTTCGTGGTGGCTGCCTGAAGAATTGGAGATGATCTCAACACCTAATTTAAATTAGACAATAAGCGCGGTGATCTGGACATTGAGACTTACCAGCTAGGCCATATGGAACATGAGGGCTAAAATTGACTGTTAGCATCTAAAGCCACATGGAGAGTTCGATACCTACCCATTAGGGGTAAACAGCTCCTCACAGGTCTCAAGGCCCAGGCATGTATCTCTCGTGCTGATAACGGCGTCACCAAATGGAACCTTGTACTGGCCAGTAATCTTTCCAACAATTGATTCCAAATAATAGTCTTCCACCTCCTGTGGACGCTGCCAGGGCGTAAAGTGTCGGTGCTCGCGATAGTTGCCATCTATATATAAGAAATTATATTAGCAACTATTCTCCGAAGTATAGAGAGCGATTGACTGAACCATTGGCAAGCCACATCTTCGGTCTAATCAGGATGATCTTCCGGTTGTAGAAAATCACACTTAAGAGAATATATCAGCTAATGCGATACCAGGTTCATCGGAAATACTTACCGGCAGTTGTAGCGCACATTGCGATGGCGAACCGGCAATCCCACATCAACCACGATATCCTGGCAATCGGGATGGTCGATGATGCGGGCAAGCATTTCCCATGAGTGCAAGAAGGTGTCGCCCTCAAGGAAGCCATCCAGAACTCCATAGCCCGTAATCTCGAGTTCCGGTCCAACGCGCAAAGTGGCGCCAGCAGCCTTAGCTTGCCTAATGCTTTCAATGATGCGCTCCGCATTGCCCTCAAAGTCGAGAGCCCACTGGTTAAGAGAGCTAGAACAGGTTAGCGCGGGGTTTCCCAATATCCAGATAGTAGATGGGTCTGCCTTACCATGTTGCTAGAGTGACGAGGTGCCCCATGATGCCTAATATGACTGAGACGTCCGTATCTTGTGCTTCGCACAGAGGCTCATCGGCGATAAGAGTCAAAAGAATGCGGTCACGTGTGTGGGGAGCTCAGGTTCCCCGCTTCACTGGTAATATTATAACTGTAAATTACTGTAATCTATTATTCATTAGCGCCATCGGCTTAACTCCGACCAAAAAACGTGTTATCCATTTGTACACACGTGCCGAGGTGGGCCCTGCCCCCCAGTCGCTGATTAATGCAATTCCTTGGCACCAGGGCTATCTGTCCTGGATTCCACGTTCTTCTTGATATTTTATATAGACATAGACTCGTTATTCTTTCTCTTGTTGATATATTTTCCGCATTAGACATTCATTGTTGGCAAACTAGCCCTTGCATAATGAGCTCTACCCCTCAAGTCCCCACCCCGGCGCATATGCTTGCAGATTCCATGTTGTCCCGACACTTCGGCAAGGAGACGGTCAATTACTTCTCCAGTAAGGACCTTTAAACTCTTATATATGGGGTGCAGTAGAGCTCAAAGGTTTTTAGGCTCTCCAATCAACCGTCTATCATTCTTGCGCTCCGATCACCCGTTCCTGTCTACGGCTCTGAAGCACCCTTCGGCCCGGTTTGTACTATTGAATAACCTAGCGCCCTTGACACCATCGCCGGCGCAGCTGCACTTTGCCAAATATGACGACGTGCGTAAGCTTGTTCCCCTTGATATCTTCGATATGTCCGAGGAAGACATGATCAAGAGCTATGATTCGCGCAAGACACACCCAACCCTTATATTCCTCGGGCTGGACGAAAGTCGTAAGGAAGGAGGGATGGCGTGGAAGATCTACTCTGGCACACCGTATTTTGCAGTCGATGTGACCCCCAGGGGTGCTGAAGAGCAGCAGACTGCAGCAAAGGATATAATTGGTGCCATGGAGGCAAAGGGACTGTCCTTCTTCCAAGCACGAGTTGTTATGTCCTTCTCCGCAGATGAAGGTATGAAGACGCAATAATAATGCCCGGGTCAATAATAGGGAACTAATCAGTTTGGGATAGCTGCTATCTATGCACAGGCACGTGCGCTGATGGACTGGAACACTCGCAACACCTTCTGTGGCACGTGCGGCCACCGCACTTTGGCCGTTAATGCAGGTACCAAGCGTGCCTGCCCACCAACGGATGTTGCGCGAGCAACCGAAACCAAGACGGAAGAGCGTCCGGAATGCAACACCCGTACTACACTGTCAAACCTTTGCTTCCCTCGTACCGATCCAACTATTATCGTGGCAGTGGTCTCCGCCGACGGCAAGCGGATTCTGCTTGGGCGCTCCAAGCGGTTCCCACCAGGGTGGTATTCGACCTTGGCTGGATTTATTGAGCCAGCCGAGTCAATTGAGGATGCTGTCCGGAGAGAGGTGTGGGAGGAATCAGGTGTCACTTTGTCCCGCGTTGTTATCCACTCCTCGCAGCCTTGGCCGTATCCAGCCAATTTGATGATTGGTGCTATTGCCCAGGTCAGTGATGTCGCTCACGAGACGATCTCTTTACAGCACGACCCTGAGTTGGAGGATGCGAAGTGGTTTGAGATTGAGGAGGTGGAGGAGGCACTGCGCATTGGCACAAGTGACTTGAGCGCTCAGGCCGGTCCGGAATACAAGGGTGGTCTGCGATTGCCCCCTCCTACAGCTATTGCCAATCAGTTGATCCAGGCTGCTGTGAGTGCAGAGTATTTTGCGGCAGAGAAGCAGTCTAAGATGTAAAGTGATGCTTGTTATGATAACCGCCCCAGGCCCACCTCCAGGTGATTGTGCCATCAAATATACCATTGATGAATTTAGACCTTCACTATCTCTCGACACTGGTAGTACTTATATATATTCCTTATAGAACCTAGGAAGTCTGGCGCAATTCCACGGTCACAAAGTCCCTGTTCTTTCAGCCGAGTGTAGGCAGTGGTTTCGAGTACGTGAATATCCAATTCACGATCTTCGGGTTCGTAGTAGCGCCGCGGGCCCCTTCCATGGTGCTACGTATATTAGCGAGACTATCTAGATAGGACTTCTTACTCGACTTACCGCCTTCATGATGCATGTCTGTTGGCGTATCTCAACGAGAAATATGATTGAAAAGGTTGAGGTAAAAAGCTTTTCCTTGAAATGATTTTTGTCGGGTTGACATTGTCAAGCTTCATGATTTTAGGTGGAAGTTGCAGAGCTGGGAAATTGTGGACCGCTTGGCGGTAGAATATATATTTTGGTATATGGTACATCTAACGATTGGACCTAGCTCAAGCCTGTTCTTGAATTCATAGATCTAGATGTGGATCTGTGGATATATGAATCTTTTTGTTTCAGAGGCTGGGCTGATTTGGGGTTGCTTGGCAAGTCCAGCCTCCCCAACGGGAGGTAACGCTGACTTAGAAGTGTTTCACCTACCTAGATCGTGTCTCTTTGGCAATGCAACAGCCAATCCTATCTTCGCACTTTCAAGCACTGAGAATTCAATAAGATTCGTATCTTATCCGGTTCTTGTTTATTCAGACAGAATGTCCCCCCAAATAATGGACAATCCTTACCATTTACAGAGCGATTATCATCCCTTTCCCGCTTATACAGCCCCGCATAGCCTCATGCAGGCTGGATACTCAAACAGGGGGCCAATTGCCAAGAAGAATTTGACCATTACTGGCGGTTAAGGCACAACGTTGCTTAATATATGGCCTCCAGCCTGCCATTTAGTACGTGTCAATATCCATGTGCCATTTCATAGTACTTCTTTGAAATGGCTCCAAATCAAGAATCAGGACAGTTACTTGTGTCTGTTCATTCAAATGACAATGCTCGAAGTACTGAAGAGGAGGACACGCCCACCCAATCGCCCGCACAATCGCCCGCACAATCGCCCAGGATCCTCCCCGTTGAGCCTCATCCCGAACCAGCAAACGAACCTCTTGTATCCGATCAAAAGTACAAACTAAACGCAAAACTATCCATATGGAAGCTTATCTCGAATTTTTTTATTTTGGAGGTACTAGCCATGGTCTTATCCTCGGGGCTTCTGGTCGCGATCGTTGTGATCTTGACGCAGTATGATGATCGTCCTCAACCGAACTGGACATTGTCGCTGAATTCGGTAATCTCCTGGTTAAGCACCGTCTCGAAAGGGTCTGTCTTATTTTCTCTCAGCGAGGGGATAGGACAGCTGAAGTGGGTGTGGTTCACGCGAAAGAGCCGACCCTTAGCTGATCTGAGTGCTTTCGATGGTGCCAGCCGGGGGCTATACGGTTGCGCAGGCTTGATTTGGAAACTCCGAGCAAGGTATGTATTCTCGTGGTCGCATATTGACTAGAGACTCATGGATATAGACATTTTGCAGTCCTAGGCAGTGGAGCCATCATCCTTGCGATCGCCTTTGACCCTTTTGTGCAAAATCTAATGCACTACTACCCTAAACTCGTTCCCGATGCTTCAGGGACAGCAATCGTGTCGAGCAACACTAAATACGATGCTTTAGGCCCTCCGTTGGATGCTGGTAAGAGGCCGAGCTGGAATTCTCTTAATCCGAATGTCTCTAATCCAAGTGCATAGGAATGTTCTATGTTGATCCGGCAATGAAAGCCAATATTTACAATTCGCTATTCAACAGCGACTCGTCTAAGCCATGGTCTACTCCGAGATACACCTGTAGCTCGGGAAACTGTACCTGGGATCCAATTGCTACACTGGAAATGAGAGCGAGTTGCACAGACATAACAGACCGACTGAAAACCGAATGTGATGGCCACACATCTAAACCAATCCAGCAGATGTGCGCTGTGTATTTTGAAGGTCGCAGTAATAATTTCTCTGTGGCTTTTCAGTTGAACACATACTCGGGTACGCCAGTCGCTATAGGATCGGTGGATCCTTTGGTCTACAAAAACGGCATCATACCTCCTATCCAACTTATTGCCCCAGAGGAGGCGCCACGAGGTGAAGCATTATGGGAACATAAGTTCTCAGCACAGTTCAAATGGCAGGCGATAGAATGCAGCATTGATCCTGTTGTGCACAGCTTCCGCGCAAATGTCACCCAGGGTATCTATCACGAGGAAACACTGGCCATCTCGAAGAATGGATCTTACGGAGACTCTCCCCGTGAGGACTACTACATGCATCCGCCGTGGGGACCGGAAATGGGCGTCGAACCAGAGAAAGAATTTATGATAGCGACGCTGTCGCTTACAGCGCTGCGATATTTCTTTGCAGACTTCTTCGCTGGTCGAGCGCGACTCGATCTTTTCGGCTTCACCTTTATCCCTGGGAGAACAGACTATAAATACGCAAGTGCGGATTTGATGCAGTTTATCACGCTTTCGAACATTACCAATTGCGCAGGTGGAATTGCCACGAAGATGCACTGTGCTATGGATAATGTCGCCGAAGCAATGTCTAAGGCCATTCGGGATACAGCGTCATATTCGAACCCCACTGTTACAACTGGCCAGGCAATGACGGCTAAGACACACGTTTCTATACATTGGCAGTGGATCATTCTTCCGGTCTTGGTGTGGTTATTGGGCCTTGTCACATTATTAGGCACCATTTGGAAGACCCGCACGGCTATGATTCCCACATGGAAGAATGAAACGATGCCACTCCTATCTGTCTATAGGAATAGTCAAAATGAGAAGCCACAAGGTGATGAGGTGTTGGAGACTGAGAAGGTGATGTTATACCAAAGGGAGGGCAAAATGGTGCTGTCGGAGTAGTTTTGCAGGAGATAGGAGCCGGTGTGATAAATAGGTTCTTCTCCAATAACGGATGGATGATAAATGAGACAGCTAGTAAATCAGAAGGGCAGACAGGTGCCCTACTACGACAACTCGGGTGAGAACTCACGCTACTGCATGCACACGACTAGTAATAAATATGGTATTATTCCAAAGGAGTACGATGAATTATAGAAAAAGGTATGAGCTACATACTAGCATTAATTATTGGCATCGGAATTACTGGCAAAAAAAAAAAAAACAAGTAGATGCTGTATCTGTTCTAAGAAAAATAGAGATGTGGATATGAGAGACTCATAGTCTACGTATATCATGAAGGGCTCCGTATGCCCACCTGCCTCAGCTAGTATCCCTAGTGGAAAAAAAAGGCAAGAGCAAAGGACCGTCCATTCTAGGAAGGAACGTGTGCTGAGGGTATAAACCCCCCCTCGCCCATGTTTCTCCCTCTCCCTAACCCTCTCACTAGAGCCCACATCGGATAGCCTCCGTGGAAGGTCGTGCCTCGCCTATGTATAATAATATGAGCTTATGTTGTCGAGGTCCATGACGGTCCGCACCCAAAGCATACTAGGGGGAATACACTTGAAAGAAATTTGAATTATTTTGTTTTACTCTGTAGGTACATGTGAATTGTGACGTCAATGTGTCAAGAAAACGTTTTCAAATATTGGCGTACAACGTGCCATCCCGTAACTCATGAACGCTGCTGTTTCGACTGTTTGGGGATCCGATCTCAGTATACCGGGTGCCATCCCGCAGCTCATGGATAGTGACCCTTCGATTGGCTTTGCGCTTGCGGTGGGAGCCTCGCTTGGAATCTGGACTCCCCGACTCGCTTACCACTTGACTGCTTGGTGTCATATCGCGCTCCTGGCTGTCTCTCTCGATAGCTGCCTGGAGCATATGATCTGCGACCCTATCCGAACCAACTTCATCGTACCATCGACGTAAACCAGATGCGTAGGCACGTTCCTGCGAGTCATATTCGACAGGGGGGCCGTTCATCTCGGCATCGGGACCCGAGCCGTCGAATACGGCCCATGCGCTGGAATCAACACTGACAAGCATCATGGTGTGATCGAGGCTCTGGACTTTGAAATCGCGTAAGAGTATGGCGGTACCATCGGCCAATGATGGCATCGAGGCCTTGTAGCGCCGAAAAATCTGAGCTCGCAGAGTCGTGCCAGCCATGGAGGGATCGGTAAGTTGAATAGTCACGAACCAGTCCTTTGAACCGGATTTGGCTCGGGTTATCGGCGATGCCTCGTGCACGATTGAGATGGTATCGACTAAAGCATTGTAATGATCAATGAGTGTAGCAAGCGGGGCGAAGTAGGAAAGCTTGCTACGTAGTCCAGAGGCATTGCGGTCAGGGGCTGGGGGTTGTGCAACGGGAACTGCCTGCAATGTTGGTGATTCAGTGCTGATCACAACTTCTACAGAGCGGTCAGGTTCGGGCGTTGTTGGGGTTTCCACGGCCTGAGTGACTTCCGAAAGAGCCATGGAATCATCATGTCCGTCAACGTGGATCCCTTGTTGGGTATTGGTAATGAGTTCTGCCCTGATACCATCCCCTTGGTCGGACTCCGGAGATTGCGACGTTCTATCCAGACCTGGAGGAGCTTCATTTTCTCCGATCGTGAATAGAATTTCAGGTTCAATATCATAAATTAGTTCACGTGTGGACGCATCTTCCTGGGTGGGATCTGGGGTCAAGAGTTGTTGCTCAAATGGAGACCTAATGGACGGCGAGACTCGACCACCGAGGGACTCAGGTCCTTCGACAGTTGGTTCATCCCTTGGGAAATCGGCCACAACATTTTTAGCAGATGAAGGGATATGCAGACTAGCGTGTCCGTCCCCACTGAGATACTGCTTAGAATGACCTTCTATTTCCGAGGATGGGCCTCGAAGATGAGACTCGGACATATCAAGCAAATTTGGATCAGCATTGCCCGATTCCTGCTCATCGAAGTCCTGATCGACTACCACTTCTATCTGTGCGCCAGATTCGGCCGCAGTATAAGATTCGTCGTTGTCAGCTTCTTCGATGAGATCCGCATCTTCCATTTCTTTATCTTCGTCCTGCTCAGGGTTCGATAGTAGTACTTCAGATAGATGATCCGTTTCAGACTGGTCTCGGGTCGACTTCTTGTCAGCTTCTTCGATGAACTCTGCGTTTTCCGTTTCTTTTTTCGTATCGTGCTTAGGGTTGGGTAATGCTATTTCCGAGGATGGGCCTTGATGACGAGGTCCAGACATATCAAGCAAATCTGGATCAACATTGTCCGATTGCTCCTCCTCAGAGTCCCGATCGACTGCCACTTCTATCTGTGCGCCAGATTCGGCCGCAGCATAAAATTGGTCGTTGTCATTTTCTTCGTCGATGAGTTCCGCATTTTCCATTTCTTTATCTTCCTCCTGCTCAAGGTTCGGTGATGCGATTTTAGATGGGTGGTCCGTTTCATAGTGGTCTCTGGTCGACTCATCATCATCCATGTCACTCTCGTGAACTCGATCATCTTGTTGATCGTATTGGCACTCTTCACTTTCTTCGTTCTCCTGGCGCTCATCGATATCGGAATCCTCTTCTGCAGCTCCGTGATATCCATCCTCTCCATCGACATACCATGGCTCTGGATATTCCTGTACACCCGTTGCGAAATCGGCTGTAGTTGGAGGGATAGATGAATGTCTAGATTCAAAGCGGTACGAGTGATCATCTCGTTCTGCTGACTGCGAAGCTGATGGTGCCCGATAGTCGGAGGCAGGCTCATCATCGCTGTCACTGTCCAGCACAATTACTTCCTGGTCTCTACTCTGCGAAGGCAGGTTCTGTTCCTGCTCAGAATTTTCACCGCTGGATTCAATGACACTGAAGTCATCTTGGTCCAATCGTGATTCTAACCGAGGATCACAATCGAAATCCTCGTCCTCTTCATATTCATCTTGTGAATCATAATTTTCCACTGACTCCGCATAGTATATTTCTTCATCTTGTTCTTCATTGTATCCTTGATTGGGTGAACGATTGAAAGCCTCTTTAGCTAGTGAAGAACCATCGAAGTCATCTCTGCTTTCAGCTGCTTCTTTCGTGTCTCTCTTCCTTTCGAGTTCCTTCTCTCGAGCGGCTAGCATTTTTCCGAGGGCATCGATCGCATCCCGATCAACGGTGGATGGTGGCGGTGGATAATTGACCGACTGAGCTGCTGGCTCATGATGCTCCTCATTGTGAGATCCATCCAGATTGGAAGGAGAACTGACATTGTCGTTGGTAGTTTCGATGCCAATACCAGCTTGAACAATGTCTGATCCTTCGATCGCTTGGAAGGATTCGGGTGATTCATTCTCCGATTCCTCCGAGCGCGAGGATAACGCTGAAGTATCGCGCCATAGAGAATTAACGTCAATGAGACGTTCATCATCTGATGTTTGAGCTTTGTCGGCAGCATTTTCGGTACCAGTACCAGCCTGGGCGACAGTAGGTTCATCCTTGACATTGGGGGGGCCATCTGATTCAGCCTGCGAGCCCGAAAGCGATACTGGGTGGTCGCCGTGCGGGTTAACATCATCAAAACCATCCTCCTGCTCTGCCACGTTTGACATTTGAGGTCTGTTGTCGGTAGTATTGATGATCACATCAGGTTCAACGACATCTAATCCATCAATAGGGTTGGAGGAATCGATTATCTCAGCGTCTTGTTCTTCTGATAAATCTTCTGAGCCTGGATAGGATGCCGAATCACTGCGGATGATGAAACCGGCATCCAAGACATGTTCCTGCTGGATGGGTTCGATATCTGAATCAATAACTGGTTCCACAATCTCTGTTTGAATGAGATCGATAGCGTCGATAGCATGAATCCCATCAGAGGATTCTGCAGGTGTTGCTATGGCGCCTATTTCTGCAGGGATAGATTGAATCTCTTCAGGCTGCGTGAGCGCGGTCCGTGGCGGGAAATAACCAGCTGAGCCAGCATGATTAGATATAAGCGGCGAAGGGATTGGGAGGCCTGGAGAAGGGATAGGTCGAATCTGCGGTGTATCTGTGGGTAGATGAAGAGAAATTCCATCATTATCGACTTGCTCATGAAGCAAAACATTTGACTCGCCGGCACGTCGTTCAAGGATGTTCCCCGTCAATTCAAGGGAAGGCTTTGCAAACACCGGAAGTGGCTCTTGTGGTGCATCCTCTGTGTATGTTGGAGCCTGGGTAGCATCCGTTATTGGGTCGGCTGAAGGTTCACTCGCCGAATCTGCCTCGTCGAGCTCTTGATCGATAGATTGATTCAAAGCCTGTTCCCAATTTACAGGGGCTTCTTGCTCACGAGGGCTGTCTGGTTCATTGATAACACGCCAATCTTCCCTGTGCAAGCTGTACCTCGGTTTTTTTCTTCCTTTCCCTGGCACAAATCCATCTTCGTCCGCAAAAGGGTCGAAAGCCGTACGGATTGTTCCTCCGACTGAGGTTCGAGCAGACTTGAGGAATACCGGCGATCCCCAGGAGCGTGCACTAAAAGACAAATCGAGATCGGGATTAATCGACTTCCCACTAGGAGTTGTAGGCGGTGCGAGTTCGGTTTCATGATGTGCTATCACTTTCGGCTCAACCGATACTATCAATGGGGGCTGGGAAGATCGGTAGATCTATATTGGCAATATTCAGTCTCTGGGAGACACAGATCAAGTTTGGGAGCAACATACCTCAATAGACGCGCCATTCTCAAAGTGCGCATCCCACGCGACAGACCTTCCCGGGGTTTTCTGGGTGTCTTCATTGCCAACAAACTTTGAGTCTTTCAAGGCCACACAAATGGTATCTCCGATTCCGACATGCGATTCCGCGACCTTTTCTGCGACGCGTCCATGAAACGTGGCCTTGATTTGTCCTTTGGCGCTCCTCAGGCGGAAATCCGGCTCAACTAATAGAAGACTCACAGACTTGGTCGAAGAGGAGTATGGCCACACAAGTGCTACAGCTGCAAGAAAAGAGCTTTCGTCCAATCGCTCAAGGTCGGGAGAAAGCTGAGCTATTGGAACTTTGGTCAAATGCGCCAGCGCATTCGGCGCGGGAGACTGCTCTGTTGCATTCATTGCGCCGGTTTTCCCACGCCCGACTATTGTTTTATCAAGCTGTCCACATTTCAAACTGGAATAATAGTTGAGATAAGATAGAGAAAAAAAAAATGCGAGTAAAGAAGACCAAGGGGCTGAAAGGGAATTGAGAGGATTATCTCGTGCAACAAAGAACAACCTGCTGCAGCTCCGGGAGGTAACATTACAGTAATAACAGGAACAAAAGCGCGTAATCTATGTATTGTGAAACCCAATATTACCTTCGTTGAAACTTGCTGATTGGTCGATTTATTGTAGAGAAAACTTTCCATGCAGATAGCTGGAGGTACTGCTTTCGAATGTGTGACTTGATTAAAAATGTCTCTATATTGTACACGGATACATGCATTCTTCACATCTTCAAGACTATAAGACACCAGCTACAGAGTAGATAACGCAGCTCCACTATGGTGAAAGCGCTTGGCATCTTTCAAGGCCACTTCTATCTCGCCCAATTCGCATCTCTAACTACATAAATTACTGTGACTCTCAAAAACTCGTTGGAAGCATGACAATCACAAATCCTATTCGTCGAGTAGCTGTCATCGGCGCGGGGCCATCTGGCCTTGCTGCAGTCAAGTAAGCGGGGTTGTTACATATTCGCCCCCAACACGACATGCTGACCGACTCAGATACCTGCTCGCCGAGAAATGTTTCGATCAAATCGAGGTCTTCGAACAAAGAAGCTCCGTAGGAGGAGTTTGGAATTACAGTCCAAGTTCCTCTAAGAAAGGGGTATCAACACCTGTCCCACATTTAACCCCTCATGAGCCAGTCGAGAAGCCAGTATGGATCGATCACACTGAGGGGCGTGAGGCAACATTCGTGTCTCCGCTATACGATCGACTGGAAACCAACATCCCTAAGGATTTAATGCGCTATTCGGACAAGCCCTTCCCATCAGAAGCCCAACTCTTCCCCACACACTGGATAGTGAAACAATACCTCGAAGAATATGCCGAAGATGTCAAAAGCCTTATTCAATTTGACACACAAGTCTTGGAAGTGAAACTCAAGGATGAAGCCCTAAGCACCTGGAGTCTAAAAGCAAAGTGTCTTCCAACTGGAATTGACACAACCCACACTTACGATGCTGTGGTAGTTGCAAGTGGTCATTTCACGGTCCCTTATGTACCAGACATCCCAGGAATACAAGCCTGGGATGCATCACACCCAGGTACCATCTCTCATTCCAAATTTTACAACTCCCCAGAACCTTTCCAAGGAATGAAAGTAGTTGTGGTGGGAAGTTCTGCTTCGGGGCTTGACATCGGTGCCCAGATCAACGAAGTGAGCCAAGGCAAACTGTTGGTCTCCCAGCAATCTGAATCCTACTTGGCTGCACCCCCAAATGGCGATCAAATTATCTGCCCGGAGATAATCGAGTTTCTTCCTCCGACAAGCTATGATAGAGGTATAAAATTTGCAGATGGTCGCATTGAGGAACATATTGATGCCGTTGTTTTCTGCACCGGCTACTTCTATTCATACCCTTTCCTGTCTTCACTCAACCCACCAGTTGTGACCCACGGATGGCGAACAATGGATGTCTACCAGCAGTTGTTTTATATAAACCACCCCACTCTCGTTTTTCCGGTGCTTTCGCAGCGGGTTATTCCATTCCCTATGGCTGAGAATCATGCAGCTGTCTTCGCTCGTGTGTGGTCTGGACGGCTTACACTTCCATCAAAAGATGAGATGAAGGCATGGGAGGATTCCGAAATTGATGTCAAAGGAGATGGAAAGGGGTTCCACCTACTTCCATTTCCCATGGATGCCGACTACCTCAACCTTCTCTACGACTGGGCTGCAAAGGCCAAGCCACGACCTGGACTGTCTAACAATGGACAAGGCAAACTTGGTACTCAGTGGGGTGAACGGGAAAGATGGATGCGGGCTCATTTCCCAGATATCAGGCGTGCTTTTGTACGGCGAGGCAACGATCGGGGCGAGGTCAAGAATCTAGCAGAACTTGGTTTCAACTTTGAAGAGTGGAAGAGGCAACAAGATGATCACTGATGATTATGGTATAAGGTCATATGTCAACCCGTACCTATAACATGAACAGTCAGTCTAAATCGAAATTAGAAATAGAACAGTTTTGTATATTTGTGTTATTATTTAGACACATGAACTTATACCCACATGTCACTATTCCCAAATACATATGTATCTATTGTGGGTCTACGATAAGCGCTATCACGTGAAGCGGGTTCACTATCCGTCCGTCCGTCGCGCGCCGTGCCTTTACCCTCTTTCATATACCGTCGCAGTGTTTTGGGGAAGTGTTAGATGTTGCCCAGAATTGAAAATTGTATGTGTCACAGATCAATGCAGCTCAAATGAGCTTTTCTTTGAGTATTGAACCTACACTCTCATTTCACCCCCGTCATATTATCCAGCATCTCCCCGACACCAATCACCCGCACATGATGTTTCGAGAGCAGCCTCCGCCGAAACTCAATAGTCACCACAGAAAAAATACTGACCGGCCTCCAGCTATAACCGTGGCTATTAGTGATAGCAGCGAAAGCAAAGACGGTAGTGATTTGGACGATCAGGAGTGGCCTATAAAGTGTATCCTTCGTGAAACAGATACCGAGTATCTCATTGATTGGGAGGGTCCCTACGATCCAACTTGGGTGAGTACTCGTGGTATGATTAAACATAGAAAGGCATCAAAGAAATGCTTGACGAGCTTGGACTAACAAATGCGCTTGCCTTGAATGTCTAGGAACCCAAAGAAAACGCGAGTGAGCTTGCTATACTGGTTTGGAACAAACGGAAAGCCCGGCAATCAAGAGAGCTGCATCGGAATTTGATACGCGAGAGAAGCACTCGTTCGCCTAGTGTCATCGAGGTCTCTTCCTCATCCTCAGAAGCAAACATAGGTCCAGAGAACCACTCGCCCTTCGACAACGAGACTGATCAGAGCGATACTAGTTCTGATAATTATTCAAGAGCTTCCTCGTCCCTATTTGTGCAACAAGAAGGCCTTTCAGAGATACTAGACTCTCTTCAATCCCAGTACACTGAAGCCTCGGGCAGCTTTCATAGGAGCGCTTCCCAATTTCTCTCCGATTATTCCCCGCCCCCAGCAGCTGTATCCTCAAAATCTCACTCACAGGACAACACCTCGATTTTTGAATATATTCCCGAGTCATCTAGCCCATCTGAATACCTGCAACCAGGTGAGTGGGACGACGGCACCGTGTTCGATACGCAGCAGCGTGGTCCGACTTGTGACTCGAAAGCCGATTCAGTTGATAGTTGCTCATCCCATCAACAGAACTCCGCGGAAATCGATACCATTCTTGGGGTATCACACCCGAACACGCCGGGTGTTAGACTGAGCCCCAAGGTCTCCGAAATAGCCGAGACGCCTGCTCAGCTACCAGGTTCAGGAGCTGGTTTCTCGTATCTTGGCTCTTTCTCTCTTGATAATACTCCATCTCACAACAACCTGACTTCTCAACCTATTGACTCGTGTGGGTCCACCGTCAGAGGTAGTCTTACATGCCACGTCAAGTTTTACATCTTGCTCACATTTTCACAGACTGCGAGTTCGACCAGTTCCATTATTTGAGCTCAATTCCAGAGACAGTTTTTCAACACCCGTCACAACACCCAGAAGAGCTCAGTGCCGAAGCTTTCGACAGACCAGTGCTTTCATTTCTTAATCCTGTGGAAGAAGCACCATCCGTCAAAACCATGGACGAAAAAGAGCTCAAACCATCGGATCCTTCTCTCTCCGATGCCCCTTTGGACCGATACAGCCAACTGCCAGGGTCCAATCCTACGGAAAAAATACGCAACGCCTGGGCCCAACTCAGCGAAGAGAATCAACCCGATCTATCGCAGACAGCTAATGCTGTAGATACTCCATCTTCCGTGGGAGATATCGAGGCTTCAATCCCTGGTTCTGTCCCCGAAAAAACTGCACCACTTAGTGTCAGAGCCGACACAGATTCCTTCTCCCATTCACATACAGCAGTCCACCATGGTCATTCTGAACCTTTACTGCCCCCCTCAGAACTAGCTCACGGGGGTCATATGAGTCAACCTTCACTCCAAACTATCCATCCCAGCGCATTGACCGTCACTGGCATGGATGAGGTTGCGCCCGGATCAGTCCGCCTGGGGCCATCCGAGTTTGCTGTCACCCTTCCAATGGATTCTCGTGTGAAGGATGACTATGAGCGAGTGCTCTCAGATGCAGCCACGAGTATACGCCAGTTTTTCGAGAGCTTTCAGTCGAGTACTCAAATTCCCGAACCTGAGGTGGGTGGAAAATCTTTCTGAGACATGATCCGTATTGCTTACATCGTATGCACAGCGAGAGGCTTTACATTCACAGATGCGAGAGGTCATCGCGCGGTTGAGCAATGTTTCAATGCATCCAGACTTGAACATCTCCGACCATTTGAAAGACGCCGACCCTGATCTTGCGAAAGAGGCATCCTGGGCTGAATACTCTAGTGCGAAGTTTCTTCTACTTGGTCATCTCATGGAGATTGTGGGTACGCACGAGCTCCATCTTGTTCTTGCTGTCCAAGATGAGAAGAAACGGGCAGTTCTTGAGCGTTATCTCCAAGGGAAGGGCTTTGCATACACCCGACCCCGTGAAGAGATGGGTAGCAACTTGGAAGTTTCCCTAGCCAAGGGGCCTCTCAGTTTTGGAATTCATTCTAGTGAGACCGCCCGTGAACTTTACAAGCCGCCGTCCGCTATCTTTGCGTTGGATTCGTACTTTAGACCCAAAAGTCCATCCATGCAGCACGTTCGAACGACTTACGCCCGGAACGGGAACTTACTGCCCGTCATCTGGTTTCTTGTGGCCAACACAAGTGAACATATTGAGCGTTGTTTGCCCGAGTCACCGGAGCCCGATCGGTTGCGTTTACTCGTGCACTACATTGCCCGTTTCCATAATGAGGTCGGTGATCTCCAGGATGATGCCCTCGGTGTACATGAAGACGCCGAGGAGATTCTCGGGTACCTCTTGGATAGTGTTGCTGGTTGGCCATTGCCTACCATTGAGCCTTTAAGTCTTGTATCCCTGGAAGAATTAGAGTGTTACAGCTCTTCGTCCGACGAGGCGACACAGCCGGCCCAGAAACGTACACTGGTAAGTATACCACATGTTGATGTATCTTTATCCAACTAACGCCCTGGAACAGGACGATGAACCCGAGGAACACTCCTCGAAACGCGCACGGGTTGGTACTCAAGAGATCAGCCAATTGACTGAGTCAACTAAGCCTCCGAGCCAAACATTGGACCGCGATTTACAATCACTAGAGAAGAATCTTATCCATATGAAACACATTCACGCAACTGAAAAAGCCCACTTGCAGGCCGAGCTTGATCAGGCAAATTCTCGATTCCAAGAAATGGAAAAGGCACTGGGTGTTCTACAACATCGTTACGAGAGTCGGACAAAGGAACTGCATGCAACTCGCCAAGAGCGTGATCGCGTGACAGAAAATAAGTCGTCTCTAGAACAGCGCCTCGAGAAACAAAAAGAGACTATATCTAGTTTGAAAGAAGAACGGACAGAGCTGAAGCGCGAGCTCGACGAGGCCAGGAAAGCAATCAAAGACGGCGGGGGCAATTCTGCTGAACTGGAGACAGCACGCGAAGAAATCCGCCGCCTTACCAAAGAAAATTCGAACCTTGAACGCAAGGCTGAGTTCGAGAAAAACCAATCCGAGTACACCCGAGAACAATATCAGACTGCGTCTACAGCGGCCGCTCAGTCTGGCACAGAGACTCGCCGATTGGCCACCGAAAACGAGAAATTAAAGCGCAAGGCCGAAAGCAACGTCGTTCAACTTCGTGAATTGCACATGAAGGACGAGTCGGCTCGCCATCTAGCTCGAATTGAAGAGCTAGAATCAACACTCGCTACGCGCGACGAATTCCTACGCAGGAAGGAAGACGAGCTTCGTGAAATCCGGAAGAATCGTCCATCGACTCGCTCGACTAGCACTCAACCACGAAGCCCCAAATGGGCCGGCAGCCGTCCGACCAGCCCCGGGGTTGGTCATAATGGTAACGGAAATGGCGGTCTTGGGGGTAGGGGCAGTGCTCTACGATACAGTTCAGAGATGCCCTTCTGAGAACATCACTCAATTTCCCCCTTCTTCTTAGCACAACTTTTTTTTTCATCCTGGCCACTCTATGACGTCTAGACACGATACGCAGACGGGACATTTGCGCTTTGCGATGCATTTCACAATCACTTTAGCTGGATCTTTATTCCTTTCGTTCACTCGTTACGATATTGCATATTTCTGGCGTTTTCTCCATTGCAGCTTTCCCATTTACCCATGAGCGATTTTTGTTTCGCGAGAGTAAAGCGAGTCTCGGATGCAACCACATCTGAATCTTGTGTTATCTCCAAGCAAGCACTGCTGCTTCATTCAATTTTTGTGGTAGTTCTTTTCGCCACAGCTCCAATACCAAATATCTTAACTATTTTCGTTCGATTTATAGGCAGAACCTCTTCCTAGCCTCCCAGGGGTGGAGGGTGTGCAGTGTGGGATTTCCTCTACCCATTCAATTGATGACTTAAAACATACAAACAACCTTGGAACCGTTCTAAATGTAAAATGACAGTCTGGATTTCGTATTCGGTAATCAAAATTGCCCCCGAAGTAGGTAGGAAAGGGCCGCAAAATTATGGATTATGTATACACTGATATAGTAAGACAAGGGAACAAGAAGAGAACAAAGAGAGAACTTCGTGCTGAACAACAGCATACAAGATGACTAGTTAAGTACAAAACACCTACCAATAGACAAGCCGCAGTCCCAAAATGCAATGAGTTTATGCCGAAGCCATAGAGCTAGCAATAAATGCAGCCAGCTCCTGGGCCTTGTCGCCACGAGTCATAGTGAAATGGTTGGCATCCTTCATAACGGTGATGCCGCCAACATTATTCGGTCCAACAAGGGTATCCCAACCATTTGGACCCAGATCAGTGCGGTTGTTCAACAACCAGAGCATCTCACGGGGGTCTGCGCTACCATCTGCGGCTGGCGCAGGGCGGGTATCACCGGGCTTAGAGCAGACACCATCCTTGGCCCAGACCATGAATGTCTTGGGGAGTTTGTCGGCCTGCTTCGGGTCTGCATGGGGGAATGGAACTGCCTTATAAGCGTCCAAGGAGTCGATGAAAGCTAGGAAGTGGGGGAGGAGCCATTTGGGTGGAGGAGCCTTGCCCTCCCCAAACAGTCCAATCGTGTCGAAGAAGCTGTACAGACGGGGAGGCAGCTTCTCCAGTCCGATAGGGAAGGGTGAGTCTAGTAGGAGCAGGCGCTCGACTCGCTCGCCTTCATCAAAGATCAACTGGCGCGCGGCGTCGTAGGCACAGATACCACCAGCGGACCAGCCACCGAAGTTGTAAGGCCCAGTGGGCTGGCGGCGCCGAATCTCAGCAATGTAAGGAGCGGTGAGCTCATCCAGGCGGAACTTGAGGTTCTCGGGGGTGCGCATATATGGGCAGTTCAGTCCATAGACACAGACATCAGGAGAAACTCCAGGAATGGTAGAATAGGAGGTAGCAGACCCAGAGCCATCAGGGAATAAAAACAAGCTCTGAGTCGCTGTCTTTGGGTTTCCTTGCAGGAGGATCGAAGTTGCCGGCGGGTGCTGGGAGGCAGTGCTGGAAGCGACTTGAACAGGGATTTGCTCGGGGAGTCTGATGCGTTCCACAGGAGCGGGAGCGGGGGCGGATTTGGGCTTGAGATCCAGGGTAATTTCGATTTCATCGAGCGTTTGGTTCTCAATGAAGAACTCTCCCGGGAGATCAAGATCTACATCTTCACGGATCTTACCGAGAACTGTGAGCGACATCAATGAGTCTAAACCCATCTCACCAAGGTTTGCATCGCCACCGAGCTCCCCGGGATCAACACCGATCTCCTCAGCCAGGATTGCGGCAATTCGTCTCAGGCTATCACTTTGCTCCTGCAATCCGGGTGTCATCGACTTCTCATTTGCAGGGGATGGAAGGCCGCTCGTATTTGGAGATGAGATCTCGCTTGAAGATACAGCCGAAGACACGTCACCTTCGCTGCTTGATCCATCACTACTTTCAGCAGGACCCATTTGGGCCAGGAGAATTTTGAAGTCGTTCACTGTTGGATTATTCACAAAGATAGAAGAGTCGAGATCAAGTCCCATTTCCTCACGGTATCGCCCAGTGACAGTCAGTGAAAGCAGAGAGTCAACTCCGTAATCAGCGAAGTTGAGATCATCAGTCAGATCAGAAGTTGAAAGTCCAACCTCTTCGGCGAGGATTGCAAGAGCACGCGTAGCCAGATTTGGTTTTGTAGATTTTGGCGGGGAAGCCTTTTTGTTAGCGCTAGGCTTTGCCTTCTCGACATTGACGGGAGCAAGAGCACGCTTGGCAGCGGCTGGCTTGGGTGCTGGGGCTCCTCCACCAGGAGGGAGAGCCATATCAAGGACCTTCCGTGCCAGAGCTTGGAACTATATTGTGTTCTGTTAGTATTTCATTCGAGAATACTGAGACAATCTTTCAAAATACCTTAACCCCACCATACACAGCAACGATGTCGTCGCCCTCAAACATATAGACATCACCAGCCCAAATAGAGTCTTTCCAAGGCTGCATCCTCACGTAGGTGCGGTAGGTAACACTGGGATCAAACTTCTTCAAGCATCGCATCGAGTCCCATCCATGATTGACAAACACTTGGTTCTTGGAATCGGTGTTATCACTAGCGTTCATAATGAAGCCAGACAGGTGACCGATGCTGTCAATCCAGAACGGATTACGATGGAAGTTGCCCGGTGGCGCCTCGAACTTAACCAGAGCGGTGGCCTCGTGTTGTTCACTGTCGAGGATGACTTCCCGAATGGATTTGTAGTTCTCGTCATAATCCACTAGAGAAGCAAAGAGCTTGTAGACCATTCCTCGCTTCATACGATGGGCCTGGCCAGATATAGTGCTCTCTTGAAGATGCTCAATACTCCGCTTGATGAGGTAAGAGCTACGCTTCCACTCAAGTTCGTAAGGAATGGGATCAAAGAACTTGATGTTGCAACTAGCGTGGTCAAGGATCTTTTTCCCCTCCGGGGTCACAGACCACACCTGCACTTTGGCACTTTCCTCGGCCCAATTTGCGGTAGCTGAGACGCGGAATAGTTGCTTGCCTCCCTTTGCAATAAGAGGCTTGGGAACAACCACGTTGCAAACATCAAACCCGCGGTCTTTCCACTCGGGCTTGTAATTCTGAACCAGATATTCACCAAGTGTCTGTGCAATATCGGCGTACAAGGACTAAAGTTTAATTAGCAATTAGAACGTTCAAGTGAAAAAAAAATCGGGAATATACATACCGATGGAGTAAGACAGGCACCGTTCACCTTGTGACCTGCAATGACACGATTGAGCTCAGGATCAGCAATGTCATTCTCGATGACGATAAATGCCGATGAATTGTCACCACTCGTCTCCAAAACTTTCTGGGCTGCTGATGACAAGAACACGGAGACTGGCTCAGCCTCAGCAGCCACTGGTGCCACTGCTGGTGCACCCTTGAGAAGACAGAAGTTGTTAGTGTAGGGAATCCAGTAGTTCTTGAGATCCCACTTGTAGGAAGGAAGTGGGAGGACTTTGTGTGCGGCGGTGAAGTCCTGATGATACTCTTTCCATCGAATCTCAATTCCAGCCAGATAAAGAGCTGCAGTACTGGTTGAGAGAACCTTCCATGAGTCTTCCTGACGACGGAGAGAGGCCACAGTAGTTGCCTGAGGACCGAAAGTTGCCTTGACCATTCCGGAGCATACGGGGTGAGAGCCAATTTCGACCCAGATGGTCTTGTCATTCATCAAGTTGGAGTGCCGGGTAGCTTCCAGAGCACCCAGGAAATTCACAGTCTCCCGGCAATGGCGCGCGAGGTAGTTGGGACCAAGAAGCTCGCTGTTGGTCTCATTGATAACGTCTCCAAGAAGAGCAGATACAAACGGAATAGAGGGCTTATTGAATGTGACCCCCTTTCCAATCTCGGCTAATCTCTCAAGAATAGGTTCAACCTGAGCTGAATGGAAAGCAAAGGGTACATTCAGCTTGGTAGCCTTGAAGCCTTCATTGGTAAGAATTTGTGAAAGCTCGTCAATTTTCTCACTTGCCCCACTGATAACAGTCTCGCTGGGCGCATTGATACAAGCCACCTCAGCAGCCTCATCAAGGAACTGCTTGATCTGTGCTACTGAAGACTTGACAGCAAGCATAGCGTGCGTTCCAACCTTGATTTGCTCGGTGAGAAGTTGGGCTCGTCGCCCCGCGAGGTAGATGGTATCACTGGTTGTCAACACACCAGAAGCATTGAGAGCGGCAAACTCGCCAAGGCTGTGGCCCATGACAAAGGTAGGGACAACACCCAAAGACATCCAGTACTTGGTCAATGCCATCTGCACACAGGTGGTTCCGAGCTGGGTAACGACGGGGCTATGCTCTTCAATTGGCACACTCCCATCGATTAGGGACACAATAGATGGGAAGCCCTGACTTTGGCCAATACAATCCAAGTGCTCAATGTGAGTGCGGAATTGCAAGCAACTCTCAAACAATTGACGTCCCATGCCTGTATACTGAGCACCCTGTCCGGTAAAGACAAAGCCGATGCCAGGTGGATTAACAGGAGCCGGGCTAATGCTGTCTCGGTTGACAATAGGAGCCAATCCGCTCCTGACTTCATCCAGAGTCGATCCAGTGACGGCGACTCTGAAGGGATGATGAATGCGCCTCGCCGTAGTTGTGTAAGACAGATTGGCAAGGAGGCTAGCCTCGTTGACATTGAACGAATTCTTGTTTATGTCAATGTACTGCACGAGAGCAGAGATGTTGTTCTTCAGGGCAGACTGGGAGCGAGCAGAGACAAGGACAGGATGGGCCGACCGAGGGTCTTCCACTTTCTCCTCATCGAGGGGGCCATCCTCAACCATCAAAGCAGTGTTACCGCCGGCGGCTGAGAAATTGTTGACGAACGTCTTTCGCACGCCGCCGTTTGGCCTGTTCCAAGGGGTAGGCTCGGACGCAATGTGCACGTTGCGCTGGGGAAAGTCTGTCGGGAAGTTGTGGTTGATCTTGGTCTTGATGCCACAGTGAGGTGGAATCATGTTCTTCTGCATCATCATTAAGACCTTAATTAATGCTGTGACACCAGAGGCAGACTCTCCGTGGCCAACATTTGCCTTTGCTGAACCAAGGTGAAGTGACTGGGTTGGCCCACGACGGTAGTCAGGAGCGAAGACATCGAGAACTGACTGCATCTCTACTGCATCACCTGCCTGGGTACCGGTTCCGTGCATTTCGATATAGCTGATTTCTTTTGGATCGCTGTTGGATTCGTTAAGAAGCTTGTCAAAGATGAAAGACTGGGCTCCTACGTGAGGCCGGGTAATTGACACAGCCTCTGCTGAGTGGTTGGTGTAAGCTCCTCCGATGATACCATAGATTGGATCATTGTCTGCCTGAGCATCCTCAAGTCTCTTCAAGACCACGGAGCCAATGCCATCTGCTCTGCAATAACCATCAGCTGCATCGTCGAAGGTGGTGCAATTTCCAGTCCTTGAGAGGAAGTGTCCACGGTCGAGGCCAGCATGGTTGTCAGGATTTGTCAGGATATTGACACCACCAGCAACGGCGGAATCGCTTTCATTCCTCCACAAAGAATTACAAGCAACATGAATTGCAGCAAGACTCGAAGAGCAAGCCGTATCCACGCTAACACTAGGGCCGCTGAATTTGAAATAGTAATTGATGCGACCAGGAGTAAAAGCACGGTTACCACCCGGGATAAAGTAGGTGTCAATATCCTGACCACTATTGATCTCACGGTAGTCATCACTAGTCATTCCGTAGAAGACACCCACACGATTCTTCTGCGTAGAGGGAGTGCTATCAGGAATGAAGCCTGCCATCTCCAAAGCCTCGTAAGCAGTAAGAAGTGCCAGGCGTTGAGCAGGGTCTGCTTGAAGCGCTTCACGGGGCGACATATTGAAGAACCGGGGGTCAAACATTCCGGCATCGTTATACCAGCATCCGTATTGAACTTGGCTGGTGTTTCTTATTTTTCCTTCCATGTCGACGTGAGCCTTGACATCCCATCGCTCTGGGGGGACCTCGCGGTGAACGTCCAGTCCTTTTTTCAAAAGATCCCAGAATGCTTCGGTGTCAGGTGCCTCTGGGAATCTTCCTGAAAGACCAATGATTGCAATCTTGGACTGATCGGCACGACCGGTACGGTTGTCTCCCTCTGAATCCTTTTGAACGTCACCAATTGTGTTGTCAATCTCAAGATTAGATACTCCAGCGTTTTTCAGTGATTTGAATAGACTCTGGGTTGCAGTGCTGGAAATTGGGAACAGAGTGCATGTCGTGGCAGATTGCAAGGCTGATTGGCAAGATTCGGTGACCTTGTCCCAACAGAGCTGTCTCTGCAAAATCTCCCGAAGAGAGAGCCTCAAGAGCTGCTCAAGACTTTCAGTTTGAAATTCCTTGCCTGTTTCACTTGACAGTATAGGGATCTGAGGCACATAGGTCATGAATTGTTCGGTCGGCCAAGATTCCAAAATTCGGTTAATATCCTTGTCATCGTAAAGATGCGAGGCATGATAAGGGCCGTAGATTGGAACTCTTGTGGGCTTGTGCTCCTTAGAGAGACTGTCCTCAATGAAATGGCCCAGGAAAGTCGGAGGACCACTAATAGTGAGTCCATTAGGGCTGACTGCGCTAATATAAGGCTGGGAAACACGGGGTAAAGCCTTGAAGATATTAACAATCGTCCTATTTTGTTCTAGGCCAATTTGGAGGAAGAGACTTACATTCTTCTTCGCATACTGTTGAATCAAATCCCGAGCCTCGGGCTCGCGCATGCCAGAAACTAGCACAGACCAGCTCGAAATTGCCGATTTGCTTGATTCTATGAGAGCTTGTACTTTCGAAACGCACATCCCGAGTCTCAAAGCAAGCACAACAGCCTCAACGCCAGCCGGAATGAGATCTCCGATAGTTTTTGAAGAGCTAACAACCGCAGATGCAAGCTGACCTGTGCAGAGACCAATGATGCAGCTCTCATCACCCGACGGATAGGCATGGCCCAAATCGCCGTAGTAGCTATCAGGCTTTGTTAGCAAATTTGATTCCAATATCGTCTATCAAAAGTTTAGCAATATGCTTACTGAATGAAACATCCCAATTGGTAAATTGTCGTTAATGCGCTCTCCAAAGCTGGGTTCGGCCCTGACTCCTTGAACCTCGCAAGAAGATCAACGATACTGGTAAAGCGGGGGAACCCCTGACGCTCGGATTGCGGAAGCGAAGTAATCTCCTTGCGCAACGCATAGTACGACTTTTGGAAAAATGCTACCAGCAGCGAGTCATTCTTGGCATGCAACAGACGGCGAAGGCCCGAGTCGAAATCCGCAGTCTGGTCTCCAAAGAGATACACATGACTGGGGCCTTCCATAATCTCCCCAACAGCAAATAAATGATTCAAAAATATATGGAAAAAGATGAAAAGTTTAAGTCCAGCGCAAACTGACGGATATCATACTTTATAACGGATAGAGGATGTGGCGGACGTATTTTCTATGCGGTGGGGCAGTGACAATTGCAACAGGTTGCCTTTTACCTTGGCAATATCTAAATAGGAAGCAGAAGAGTTTAGGTTACAGAGTTTTTATCGTAAATCAGGAATATAGGTATGGTAACCAGGAAGGAATTATTGGGAAATGTATGGTCCTGCGGCTTGTACTCCAGTATTCGGCGAAGATCCATTGTTTTCCTCGTTCTCGTATTGATGTGAAAATAGACCAATGGTACCGTTACGGCAGTAGACTCCATAACGCCTCCAGGAGTTCGGTATGTCTGCCTGAGTCAATAGGTATGGATGGGCTAGACCGAACTAAAATCTATGTTCCTTGGGTGATCCAATTGGTCCTTGAATCATGAGGTTGAGTTACCGAAGGTACCGCCGAACCGATGATAGTTTATGAGTGCCCGAGTGCTGTTTGCGGATAAAACTAGCAATGAATCTAGAAATCAAGAAAATTGGTATGCCAGCCGAGCTATCCGTAAGAGATCTGTCGTGGCCCAGTAGGATCATAGACAATAGACCCGTTCCGACGAAAAATTCCGATGAAGTTGCAATAGAAGAGATGATGCCGCTGCATTCGGAAGGTTGCAGCCTTTGCATATACGCGTCACGTGACTGTGTTTGCCCTATGTAGACCAACCTCTCAGTCCCCTAGACTAGGAATTTTCAAATAATCCATGGTCTTCCGCTACATAAAATTATCAAGATGTAGAATATATGTCTCGGGTGCAAGAAAAAAGTTATAACAAGTATTTGTAGATGTCTTGCAAACTCAGTAAGAAAGTGTACATCATCTGAAGACATCATCGTACTAATTTCCATACGTCATGACTCCAGCCTCAAAACGTTTGTATCTGAGACATTCATCTCATTTACAATTGCCACAGCTTGGCGAATTTTCTCGCATTTTTATGGTGACATTTAGGCCAACAATAAGATATGCAAAGCCCAATTCCTTTTTCTACATTCCAATGCCTTTGATATCAGCCACTCAATTGGTATTCTGGAATGAACCAAGAAAGCACGTGGCTCATTGGACGATTGCCCCATGGCAATCCAGAATGTTCTCAAAAGATCGATCGATTGAGTGGATCCAGATCTTTCATTGGCAGCTGACCAAGTTCCCACGATATGTAACTGCAAACGGACTATTTCTTACGAAAAGGAAGAGAAGCGATATCAAGTAAAGTAAAACTAAGTGGTATCCTAGCTGTTATGCGCGCTACTTCTATATGTGACCAGATAAAAGAAAATCCAAAATATCAGTTCAAAAACGATATCAACCCCAATCAACAGAGCGTGGCACTTCGTACCTTCAGCAGACATGCGAGGAAGTCACCCAGTGAAATTAAGGATAGTCACATCCTCACGGTGAAGCTTATATTCTCAAGTGGGAATCGAGCTCAGACATGTTCTCTGCAGCTGGGGACTATATATATATCCTTACCCTCATGGATTACTATGTTAGGATGATGTCAAATATGAGACCTCTCGTTGACTAGTAGTCTCACATTGACCCTAGCTAGGAGTATGAGGCTCTGGGGCTCTGGTCCTCACCCTTGGGGACCTGAGGCCACACATCAATACCATCGAGAAGAGCAACAGCCATTCCGTTGGCCATGTGGGTATGAATATGGCAGTGGAAGAGAAAGGGCCCAGGGTTGACAACCTGGTACCTCACAATCATCCATGTTGGTCCCTTGGGGCCATTAGTGACGAAAGTATCTCTCATTTGGGGGTTTTCCAGTTGGAAGAGTTCAGGGCGCTCCGCGTAAGCTTCTTCGGTACTAGACCAATTGAAGAAGCCAGGGCCAACACCAAGAATAAAACCCTTATTAGAGTGCTTATGCATCACATGTGGGGCCTGTATAGCAGGGCTGTTGGGCATTTCACCCAACTGGAGCAACAAATCGACCCAGGTCCCGTTCTTGGTTTGGATGGTAACCTGCGGCTGCAGGTTGTTCTTTGCATTGATGTCGTAGAGAATCGGGTCGTCCCAGTTAGCCATCATGTCGTACAGGCCACTGCCAGAAGTAGTCCATGTGTAAGACGAGCCCAGACGGCCGATGGTGAGGTTGACAAGCTGATCAGCGGTCTTGGGAACAGTGACAGGAGGGTAATTCTTGATGGCCTTGTTTTGCAGGGCAATGATGGAAGCGGAGGTGTTTCTTCCGCCGTAATCCACGTAGGGCTGAGACACGCTAGTGTCTTGAGAACCCTTGTATTTCATTGTAGCAAATCCAGAAATGACCTGATCAGCTTGGGTATCTGGAACTCGAATAGTATATTCCTTCCAAGGCTTGTCGAGCTTGATCATCGCAGCATAGCGCTCGCCGCTGTAGATGTTAACAGTCTCAGCAAGCTGAGGTTCAATGTAACTCCCATCAACTTCGTAGATATACATCGGGTGCTCATCAATAGAGAACATAAGTGCCTTGATAGACGCGGCACTGATGAACTTGAGACTGACCCAGCCGGCATTAGGATCAACTTCAATGGTCTCGTGCAAACCAGTGGTAGTAGTACAGCCAGAATTTAATCCAGGAGGAATCTGGTTCTCATGGGTTGGAGGGAAGTCGCCCTGGGTTTCATAGATATTTGGAAGGCATCTGGTATGAGGTTAGCGAGAGAACTCCTGATTTAGTGCTAGATAATATCCCACCCCTTGTCGGTCAGTGGCTCGTTGCCAATCAAAGACTTCAGATAAGGGAGTTCCACACTGGAGATCTTTTTCGCTCCTGGGCAGTAGACCGCTCCGCGGCCATTGATGAGAACACTGTCAGAACAGCTGAAGGTTATCAGCGCAGTTTTATATATATCGGAGCAATAGCCTAACTTACGAAAGGCCCAGGCGGCTATCTTCCATTGCTTTTTGGTACTCAGAAGAGGTTAAGTGGTCCCAATCAGACAGAATGATGAGCTGGGGGTTCTTCTCCGCATTTTTCATTGCTTCAATATCCCGTGTATTGTTCGAGATAAGATGAAAAGGTTGAGGCACATCCGGGCCAGGGCTGAATGGGTTAGTTGCCTTGTATTGGGAAAACTCAGAAAACAAATAGCTTACTTGATCCAAATGGGCCCATAGAGCCCATCTGACATGTCACCCCGAGCATGGGCATGATACCAGTAAGTCCCATACTGGGTGGCGGTCCAACGGTATGTCCAGCTATGTCCTGGCTGAACGGGCTTTTGAGTCAGACCAGGCACACCATCAGACCATGGAGTGTTCCGTTGCTCAATGCCATGGAAGTGAATGGTGGTATTGAAGGGCATATTGTTGTGTACAACAAACTATGGGCAGTTAGTACGCTTTATGTTTGACTCCACCATATCCTCTGCAATAAAACTCACCTCGACATCATCGCCCTGATCTATGCGCAGTTCGGGGCCGGGGAATTGCTCGTTCATGAAGATCATCTCGCGCAAGTTGCCATCTGGCGCACCCTTTTGCCAAGTCAGGTCAAGCTCAAAGTGAACATGCTTAGCCCAGGCTAACTTTATGATTCCAGTGGCAGTCAAGGCTGCAAGAGCCTTTAAAGGTGCCATCGTAATGAGCCTATTGGTTTCGGAGAATATATATATTATGCTCCAGATTTAGCTCAAGGGTCTTGATAGCGAGGGAATAAGTGATCTCTGTATATCTAACTCCTTAGAATAATAAAGATTAGATCTATGGACTAGGGGGGTATTTGAATAGTTTGAATTTTGATTCTCTTGATAATTCTTAGCCCTATGTTTCTATGTCTGACCCGCATACTCCGTACAGAGTAGAGAAGCATTTGATGTCCGCAAACATGTTTGCATTTTTGACAAACTAGGGAGGAAGCGGTGTGTTTGTCAAAATTTCTCAGTTTAGCAAAAGGAATAAGCAGTCTAGATGCTCTCTAAGGACTGTTGAGGTGGCTGGGGAAGTTTTAGCTTCAAACTACTTTCCGTTTCGAGATGAGTTGACCGTAGTGAAAGACTGTTCTGATATCCAACTGAGCAATGTAGCAAGATCATCTCCTGAAAACCTAGTTAGTAGTTTTTGCGATCGGATGTCATGCAAGGGGGAATGATTCGGAAATCGCAAACAAATGTTGGTGCGTGGCTGGAAATCCTGTGGCCATGGCGAGAATGTCGCAATTTCCTGATCCGGTAGCCTAGTGTAAAATGAATTTGGCTATTCGATTTTCCAAAGTTTTATGTAACACAACATGTGAGAAACTTCGCTTTGCTTCGAAATTGGCTCTGCTCTTGGTTTGGTCGCCTGAAGTGATGCTATCATGGCATGGATTATGCCATTGGGTCTTCAGGGAGCACCTAGTACATAGGTTTACTGTCTAAATTAAGGATACCGGTTTCTAGGGCATTTCCATAATCAAGAAGAAATGGAGTAAAGTCAATATGTATAGAACTTTATTTAATCAAAGAGTGCTCATCTAGAATCTTGGAATGTCTTACTGGGTGAAGAACGATTTATCAAAGTATGTGATATGTGACAATATGTGACATACTATAAACACGAACTTTGAGGTATCAAGCAGGTCTCGGCTTGCTTGTATCTCACATATCCTGGTAAAATGATTGCAGTGTTGCCTGCCTGAGAATGCTAGGTAGTTGTCTCTACAGGTTCGAGAGGCGTTCCGTAGTCATCATCAAAATTCAATAAATGAGGGGGTTTCTGGGAAGCCAGTTGAAATCGATTAACTAATGTATTAAAATCAAACCCGTAGGATGAAAGGACAGTCATGTAAGCTTCGGGTCGAAAGAAGAGGAATGAAAGATGAAAATTTGTAAGTATTATTTTACCCCAAGTCATATATATATCATCTGCTGTACAAGATTTTACGCACTCAAGTCATTGATCTTTCTATACTGAGATACTAGGCAAAATCTCTCCGCTGGAAATCAAATTAGACTTCTTAATTTCTGATTTGAACAAACTTGAAATTCCATCTATAAAAGTAGGGGTTAGTCATTGGTGTTTATTTCCCGAGGTTCTCCCAAATATCTAGATCTAACACTTGCCGAGTATCTCATTGTTACAAAGGCAATTGTCAAGACTAATGGTCAGTACAATATAAATGAAACAAATGAAAATAAAGACATCTCTAGTTTGCCGGAGACCCTCTGCTGTTCCAAGGTTGTGAGTACCAGGGTTGTTCGAATCCGAACCATGGATCGGCTGCGGCTCCAGATTTTCTATAGAAAAGTTGCAATAAATGGGGAAGCATCTTCGGAGGTTTGGCTATGAGAATACTCCCGGTGTTGATTTGATATATTCGCATGCATATATATAAGTAGATGACGTTTGAGAGAAATACCGATCGCGCTTTCTGACAAGACTCGGAGCAACGGGGAAACATGAGATATTACATAATGTACATTAAGCTTATCGATAAGGCATGTCTCCACCACTAGTCCCGATTTAGCCACAAACAAACAACCCCAGTCCCGGTTTACGCCCCAAGTGTCGTCTTAGGCCTCACCGATCGGAATCGCTCTGTCTTTCACCCACGTCTTTACAACCAGCTTGTTGGCCCCGTTACGTGAAGTTCTCTATTCGCCAATCCTTTTTTATTTTGAATACCCAATTGAAACCTTCTTATTCTATCGACAATGCTGATTGATTGAGCGATCGTTGCTATCCCTGCGGCCGTGCGGACCTTGTCACTCATCCATTTGACCAAGCTGTTTAGTATTGGGTTCGAACCAACAACACAACCTGGTCGATTGATACATTACTTTCACGCCTTCGCCTGGACGTGGACTTGTCAGAAGTGCGCCGGGTATTGAAACAGCTTATTAGGTCGATCCGTTGTGTTGCGCTCGAGGAAACCGTGTTTAAGTGACCACTATGGCTCAGCTTCCAATGCGGTTTCCATGCTGGTGCCGAGCAGTATATTCCTGGGGTGGAGAGACTACACGAGATCTGGGATTTGTGGAGGGTGACTTAATCGAATGCTTGAATGCAGGCGATGGACAATGGTGGATGGGTCGGTTGCGCCGTGACAGGCGCGCGGTCGGACTGTTCCCGTCAAATTTTGTTGAGCTTCTGAGTGAAGACTTTGTGCCTGTCAGCCGTGATACTACTAGTCCAATGGTGCTAGCGGGATCTTCTCCGATAAATAATCCCACATCAGCTCCCAAGAAACAGAAGACCGTTTGGCGGAAACCGTTCCAGGCGCATAAGGAAGCAGTATCGCCAGCTTCCGTCGCTCGGCGCGCAACCGCCTCTAGACCAGCGGCACCCCCGATTCCCCAACCACCCCCTCGGGATGGCGGCATTCCACGAAGTACGAAGCCATTGCGCACGCATGCGACAGCAGTCAAGAACCAAGGCTCACTATCTCGGCCCACATCATCCGCATCGCGGCCTTCTTCACGCGGTGTCTCTCCTCGTTCGTCTGCGGAGCCTGAACGGTCGCCATCGATGCTGCCGAGAGGAAATACCTCATCTTCTCGGCCTTCATCCCGCGAGCAATCTCCATTACAAGCCCAGGAACGTTCATATGGGAGGTCGTCGAAGGGCAGCATCTCATCTACTCGGCCTCTGTCCCGCAATCCGTCCCCCTTGCCAATACACGAAAATTCCCCCGGAATAGTCCCACAAGGCAGTATCTCATCTTATCGGGCTTCATCTCGTGAGCCATCTCCATTGCAAATACAGGATTATTCGCCCTCGACCATGCCACATGGCAATATTCCATCCTACCGGGGCTCCTCGCGTGAGCCATCTCCATTACAAATGCAAGAATACCCGCCTCCCACCATTCCTCATGGGAGTATCTCATCCTATCAGGCAACATCGCGTGAGCCATCTCCAATGTATATGGAGGATCATCCACCTGCGACGATGCCGCATGGCAGTATGCCATCATACCGGACCCCATCGCCGTTACCAATGCAAGATCATTCATCTGCGATGGTCCCCTACGGGCGTATCCCATCTTACCGGGCTCCATCTCCACTGCCAATGCAGGAGCATTCTATGATGGATTCACATGGTGGTATGTACCGGCCTCCTTCACGTGGACCTTCTCCATTGTACATGCAGGACCATCCACCTGCGCCGATGCCACATGGAAGTATGTCCTCCTATCGGGATCCATCACCGTTACCAATCCAGGAATATCCATCCGCGCTGGTCTCTCGCGGGGGCATGTCATCTTATCGGGTTCCGTCTCGTGAGTCGTCTCCAGTGCATATGCACGAAGAGAGAGAAGACTCTCCCCCTCCACCTCCCCCACCGCCACACCGAGTCATCATCGGTCGTAGGGACTCCCGCTCTCCTCAGCAGCCAATGCATTCTCAGACACGAAGTCATTCACCGCTACCACCAATGCACTCATCCCAGTACCGCACACCCTCTCCTCAGCCGCCATCACACTCTCCAAACCCATCACGATCTCCCACGCCATTAGTTATGAATGATCGCTACGACATATTCGATCGTACCCCGTCACCGTCTGTAGCCTCAATGCACTCCGCTGTTTCTGAGACACAATCAGACATCCATGGAAACACACCATCTCCGCTGCGAGATGCCATGGAAGATGTCATGACTTCCTTGGAAGACATGGGTCTCGCTCGCCACGCCCAGTCGCCTTCACCCTCTCCAGTCTTCAACAATCCCTGGGCCCCTGAAGCATTTGACACCTCACACGAAAGGACTCCCCAAGGTAACAGACGCCGGCCCTTGACGTCGATGGGCTTTGATGGAGATAAAGAGCAACCACAGGGCGGACTCACCCACCGCAACAGCGTTTACAGTCACGACCACATGGATGGTCCGCCTCAACTGAACAATTATGTCCAAAGAATGGAGAGCCGTCTACGTCAGTTGGAAAGTCAGAATCGACCGTCTGAGGGTCAAAGAGCTGGCCAAGACGACGACGACGGACCTCCTCCCCCTCCTCCAAAACACGCCACTTACCACCCACGAAATAATTCTATACCAGGACAATATGCTCCCCTCAAGGCCCGGCGCTCCGGCCATGACCTTCGGGGCGGTATTCTTAACAGGTCATTTACCAATAAATCTAGTGCCACCAATTCATCTAGTGGGGTGCAAAGTAATGGCACATCCATGACGACGAGCACAGACAAGACGAGCCAAAGTGTTATGAGCGGTTTCTCTGCGGGCGGATTTAGTGCTACGAGTGCAGGGAGCTTTGCTAGGCGAGGCGGGCATGAAATGCCGAATACAGCTATGGACACCGTCCGCTCTCGAGGGTTCAGTGACGTACGCCCGGAGACGCCTTTCACTGGTGTTTCATACCACTCTAGTCATAACTCGTCTCGTCAGGGTGCATCGTCGGCTATTCCATGGTCGTCCACCGGTCTAGACTCAACGGATCATAGCGGAGTCTTTGGTGGTCTCTCTACGCCAAAGAGCAAAAAGCAAGGGTTTTTCAAGAAGATATTTGAAACAGCCAAGACTGGTGCAGCCAGCGCAAGGAGTAGCATTTCGGTCGGCCATGGGGAGAGATCAAATTCTCCAACTAAAAGCATCAGAGGAATAGACGCCGTGTCACCGGGTCTTACGTCTCACTCAAATCGTGATAGTGGCCGTGATATGGGCCTCGGAACTGTTGACTGGGTCCAGGTGCGCCGAGATGTTAACCGAGCGTCGTCTCCTAGTCGAAATGAGAGGATCGACAGGGCAGAACGATGTCAGATGGTGAATCACCCTGTTATCTATTCCGTGGAAGAGCTATACGATACCGCGGAGGGTGATGAAAGCATCGATGGGCAACCGATCACTGAGCCAACCAATTTCCACGCGGCAAATCTCACCCTCGTTGATAAAAGTGCACGCTTCATCAGCAGCCTACCTCCGATGACAAATCCTATGAGCCTCGCACAAGCCTATATTTGTCGACCCTACAAGAGTGATGTTCAGCGTCTTCGAGCCATCTTTACATGGGTCAGCGAGAAAATTTCGTGGGAAGAACCTGTCGACGGTATTGAAGTTGATATGAAGAGACTTCTACAGGCCAAACGAGGTACCCCGGAGGAAATCGCACTATTGGTGCATGAGATGTGCGCAGCCGTTGGCCTGCATACAGAAATCATCCATGGATTCCTTAAGAGCCCCGGCGACTCCCTTGATCTAGAAAGCCTCTCCCGTCCCAATCACTGGTGGAACTCTGTCCTAGTCGATGGTGAATGGCGCTTTATGGATTGCGCACTTGCAAACCCCACGAACCCTCAACGCAGTAAATTCGTTTCTAACAACTCTTCCGTAGCGGAGAGCTGGTACTTCCTTACGCGCCCACTTGATCTCTGCTACACCCATGTCCCGATGTATCCGGAAGAACAACACATCTGCCCGCCAATTTCACCAGATGTTCTGCTCACCCTGCCCACCGTGTGCCCGCCGTTCTTCAAGCTTAACGTGCAGATACCAGATTATGACACAAGTATGATCCGTATCGACGGATTGGAGGTCATGCAAGTACGCATGGTAGTCCCTGCAGATGTTGAATGTGCAGCGGAAGTCGAAGCACCGGGATTCGCCCGTGACGCAGATGGCGATTTCTTCGAAAGCGGAGACATTGTCCGCAAGCGTGCCTTGGTCCAGCCCGATTGGGTCCGCGGCCAAAAACGCATCACAATCAAGGCTGTACTGCCAGGCGACGAAGGCCAGGCCGTGTTGAAAATCTATGCAGGCAAGAAAGGGCTGATGCACTCAAGCCGAGACATCCCCCACCCCTTGGCCTTAGCCCTACCAATTCTCCACACCGGAGAGAATCCTTCTTATGAATTTGTGCTGCGCCATCCTACACCCCACGCCCAGCGACACGACTTGTACATTATGCAGCCTCAATGCTCGCGCCTCGCAGTCAACAATACCTTCGTCTTCGCTGTCCGGCAACACCCTGCTGCTCCCGCGTCCGCCAAGGATGAGACTTCCAATGGCCGCGGCTCGCCCTCATCTGTCTTCACTCGTCCGTCCAGTGCATTGAGCATGGTGTCCAGCACAGCGGGCGGCTCGACTGTATCGGGTGCTTCTAACGAATTCTCAGCGTCGACCTCGGCCATTTCATCGACCAGGTCCACCTCTGGACGGGACAAGGCTGCGAAATTAGCCATCCAGTCCCCGTCCGGCAAGATCCTTCGTCTCACCCGTAAAGCTGAACACATGATCAGCAGTGATACTGGCACCGAATCTCTCACCGATGCTGTTGCTGAGGGCAGTGTTTGGGAGACTGTCATTAAGATCGGCGAGCGTGGTATGTGGCGCGGTCTTGTGCTGGCTGATCGAGCTGCGCGCTGGTGTGTATTTTGCGAGTGGGAGTGTGTTTAATTTCTCTTTTACATATTATGGCGTTTATCCTAAAGCCTTCTGACACACCAGATTCAGGAGGAGGTGGTTGTCTACATTTTTCCCCCTTGTTATTTTGCTTTGTTTTATTACGGGTTGCATATCTTTTTGTCATAATGTCCTTCAGGCATGCTGGAATTTGCATGAGGTTAGCTTGGAGCATTGCATATATTGCATTCTATTTGTCCAGGTTCTATTCCAGAGATCTGGAGTTCGGTGTTAGAGTCTGGATTAACAGAAGTTTGAGAAATCCAAGTCTACATAAGTGATCATAGAAATTCTTCCATAGATTTCATTTACAATTTAGCTACTGCTGCCCGTAGCAACGGGGCGACCTGCTTCCTACTACCAGCCGCATTGGTCTGCACCCACAATTTTCTCCATAGGGGTGATTCCTCGTTCAATGTAAGAAGACAATCTCCTGTCAGCTCAGGGATATCCTCCCCATCGAGCGGAGACCAATCTATGAGCCCAAGGTGGTGGGAGGAGTGCTCAACAAACTTCTTGACACCCTCAACAGCCGATTCATTGTCACCCATCACGCTGACAAACAGCTCGCGACAGAACTTACCATTAGTGCCTGTAAAAGCCGTCATAATAACAAGCACATCCAAGTCTTTCTCCTTCGAAGTTGCGAATGAGCGCGCAGCATCGAGAAATTTCTCCGGGCTACCCGCCTTTTGTACAATCCATCGCATAGGTCTGACGGCAGAACAAAAGCCCATTTTCACAGTCTTCCCCGAGGACTGTGACGTCTCAGTCCAGTCCTTGTAATCGCGATCCAACACCTCATCCATCGTAAGAAGATCTAGACTATTCTGTTTAGCATAAAGAATGCTTTTGTAGAACGCCTCTAACTCCCAGTTGTTTTTAGAATTCACTGCAGCTTGTGATCCGCCCTCGATTTGGGATTGCAGGAATTCGACAGCCATACGATCGATATCGGTCACTTTGCCTTCGGCAGTGAGGTTCGAGGTATCAATAAGCACTGCAGAAAGAGCAAGCTTTGCAACCTGCACCATTTCCGGAGTCGAGTCCCAGAGATTCCGTTGTTGCAACTCTCGAGTAATGAGCGATACACAGGACCCAGGTCCCGGCTGAATAATCATAGGCTGACCTTCTGGTAATTCGTCAATGCTTGGCATGGAGTGCTCGTCCACGTGGTGGTCGATACATCCAATAGTCCGGAAGGAGACACCCGGCAACCCGGTTAGGGATCCCGAGCCCTTATCGGTCTTTGAGGGGCGCGGGAACGCGTTCCAATCTACCAGCGTTGCATCCACGAGAATCTGTTTCAGGACATTTTGGTCTTCGAGGGACTGCGCAAAATCCGCGATGGTCATAACATGGTCGCGTAGGAAATTACCAGCAGAATGTAGGGTATTCTCGAATTGCTCCTCATTGTTTAGGGCGGGGAAATTGGTTGATGACCATAGTGCAGCTGAAAATTCCGGTCTTAGTCGATACAGCTCTGTCCCAGCGGGGAAATTGGGTAGGTTTAGGAGTGGGATATGGGGTCGGGGGGTTTTGACCGGGAGCCTGTTGTTCGCGCAGTAGGAGTAGATGATTGCCGACACAATGGAGTCGAGGTCAGCGGAGGGATTGCCGATTACGTAGATTGGAGGCTCGGACAGGGCACCCGAGATGAATTTGAGGTGTACTTGGCGGGCTTGCCGTAAAAATTGGAGGAGAGTCATGTTCGTTGAATAAATTTGTAGCTAAAGCTCCTATGCCGGCAGATACCCGACGTCATTCAATTGCTGACACATCATATATCGAATGGATCCCGGATAGCCCTGGAGGGTCCGCGGGTATTCCGTCTGTGGCGACGAAGTACTCCCTGGACTTAATTCTCACTGGTTGGTAATAATACTGATGAAGGCAGAAGAGGTCAAGGTGATCACTGGTGTCCCCATGGAGAAGAATAGAGAGGAAAAGAGAAGAAGGATCAAGGCGAGTCAAATGTAGGCAATTATTACCGTTATGAGAAGCAGCAGTTCATGGTGTTTGAAGTATTACCTTGACCTCCAGGGCGCCGACGTCAAATTACTGTAATTTATGGGACAAATCATCCATATTAAAAGAACAGTACCGGTCGGAGGTTTAGGAAAAGGTGTAGTCACAGGTCTCTCAGGTTATATGAAGTTATTAGAAAAGGGTAGTGTAGTACTATGAGAAAGGTTGATAACTACTTACAGTAAGGCTGTACAAAGAAAATAAGGCACACTAGCAGATGCCTTAAGCCCCCCACATCCTAGAGCTCAGATGCAACCTCCATGGGGACCTCGGGACATCCTAACGGAATCACACCAAAAGCCATACATAAAACAATGCCTCTCCCACTACAGCTACCAGAGACATTCGCCCAAATCCCCCGCTACAAGATCCTATACTCCAATCCCTCTCCCATCCACCCCTTAACCTCAATTGCAACCCCAAGAATCTCCCCGCACCGCCCCCTCATCACCATCCACGCCAAACGAGAAGACCATTCCTCCCCCCTAGCCTGCGCAGGCAACAAATATCGCAAACTAGAATACATAGTCCCAGACATCCTTTCCCAATCACCCCTCTATCATAGCCATGAGAACAACCCAACGCCCCCAGGCCCGCTGCAAGGCGCAGCAACAACTCTCGTTACAGAGGGCGCAATCCAAAGCAACCACACCGTGCAAGTCGTCGCTCTCGCTCGGAACCTCGGTCTGAAGGCTCTAGTTCTCTTACATCGCGGTACAGGCGGCGGACTCGCAGCTGCTAGTGATAAGGATGCCTTCCAGCGCAGCGGAAATGTGCAAATCAATCACCTTCTCGGTGCGGAGGTTCGCGTCTGCGAAGAAGGTGATCCGCTGGCGCAAGATGCGACACCTTTTCTTGATGAATTGAGGGCGTCGGGAGAGAATCCGTATTGGATTCCTGGTGGCGCGAGCTTACATCCACTTGGTGGGCTAGGATATGCGCGAGCGGCATTTGAGATCGCTGCGCAGGAGGAGGAGATGGGGCTTGGCGGTTCGGGTAGGTTTGATTATATCTTTGTCGCGTGTGGAAGTGGGAGTACGGTTGGTGGGTTGGTCGCTGGGTTTAAGCTGCTGGAGAAGATTCGGGGATTGGATGTGTCAAAGACGATTGGCGAGCGGAGGAAAATTGTTGGAATTCTTAATTCTCCGACTAAACCACGGGCATATCATGAGGGGCGGGTGCTTACCTTTGCGCGGAAGGCGGGCGAATTGATTGGGCTTGATGGGGAGCGGGATATTGCGATTGAGGATGTGCGGCTTGATGATCGGTTCGTTGGGACTGCATACGGTGTGCTTGACGGCGAGAGTAAAAATTCTCTAGAGACTATGGCGCGGACGGAGGGTATGGTGCTGGACCCAGTTTATACAGCAAAGGTTGCCAGAGGCATGATGCACTGGGTGAACGAGGGAGAAGTGGCAGATTCTGCTAAACCTTTGGAGCAGGTCAATGTATTGTTCGTTCATACAGGTGGACAGGCTGCTCTAGGAGCTTATGCGGATATCAAATAAAATATATCAGTGAATAAGAATGGCTCAATTCAACTAGTATTACATGGTGTAGCAGCAAAGAAAAGCAGTCATGACAGACATAGTCTTGTGGTATGGGAGAAAAAACAAACAGAAAAGCGTGGAATCGCTGGAAAACACCCCCGGACTCGCCAGCCCAGTCTCTTGTACACCCTTTTTTGAAAGTTGATCCGAACAGAACGATTAAAGCATAGGAGAGGCGAGTAAACGACTAAAAGTGACGCAGGAAAACTATCAGACCATACCAAACAGACCGAAAAAGAGAAGTGGTCAAGTTTTCAATAAAAACAACAGATTCATTGAAGAAAAAAAAGCGAGGCTTGCTCAAAGTTCCTCGTCCTCAAGGTCTCCATTGGGGCCATCGACTTTGGGTTCACCATGCGGTTCACCGGGGTCACCATTTTGAGCCGAGTCCTCTTGAACAGAGGCAGCACGGCTACTGCCATTGCTGACCACGAGGGCCTCCAGGGCCTCATTCGCATGAGTATTTTCCATATGCTGGGTCTCAGCTTCGGGGTCAATCTCTTGGTTGGTTAGGTCTGCGAATACGTCATCTAGGTTCTGACGAGGGCTGCTGCTCGCGAACTGAGGTTCATGACCAAAGCGGGGAGGGCTGAAAAGGGAGGGCTCCAAATCTGGCTGGGGAGGAGGAGAGCGTGGCAAGAAAGAGGGGGACTGAGAGGCGGCTGCATGGGGGAGGAAAGCCGAGGAGGAGGTAGGTGCAAACGCGGGCGTGGAATCGCTCGCAGGCAAAGAATAATTTGCAGAGAAGGGGTATGGTGCAGTGTTTGGATCTGCCATCTGAGCCAACGTGGGACCTGTTATGGGAGGTTGTCCACTACTAGAAGTCGATGGTGCTGGTTGCATGGATGCAGGTTGATTAGGACCTGGCTGTGATTGAGAATCAATAGATTTCCGTTTGGTTACGCCAATGTGTTTGGGCCGAAGATGCTCCGGGAGATCCTCTGGACGATTCACCCCAAGCTGGGCCATTATCTTCTGCTGCTTGGTTGGCCGTGGCTTTCGTGTCGACAGAGATTGCTCTAGAATTGGAGGGGGTTCCGGTGCGACGGGTGCCCACTTGTGGATCTCCTGCCGGAAGAAATTTGTCTCGAAGGTGAGAAGAACTTCAGCGCCCTCGATTTTGCGGAGATAGAATATCAAAGTAGGCACTTCCTCGGTCGTTGTGCAGGCAGCATTAGTGAAGCTATGCAGGAAATCACGGAAGGCTGTTGCTTGATTAATGATACTCTCAAGAACTTCTTCTTCCTCTGGCTGGAAAGGTAAAGTTGCGATCTCCGCGTGCCAATCTTGCAGATCCTCAAGCTTGGGACGAGCAGCGTCGCGCGGGATCTTTTGACGCCAATCGCAAATTGGGCAGGTGTACTTGTCAAATTCCTTCACTTTACCGCGAGCAATCTTCAAACATTTGCCATGGTACCTACATAGGTCAGTAAACTGAACGGTAACTAGAACCGGAAAGTTTGTTGGCTTACCATTCGTGGCAGACTTCACATTCAATCATCATTCCTGCTTCAGAGTGTCTGCAAATACAGAACACATCTCGCTTTCGTGACTTCGGGCCCCACATGTTATTGGGATTGCTAGGATTCTCAAGCAAACCTTCGGGCGAATTGTCTCGAGATGAAGGCTCCACAGGTGGTCGATAGCTGTCCTCTAGGTCGAAGCAGTACGAATTCCGCTTCTCGACGTATTCCATATGGGTTCTCAGGATATGAAGAGGAGCATTCGCCTTGCCAAATAATTTCTTCCCTTTTCGCATCCAGTCTTCATGACGCTTTTGTTCACGTTCCAAGTCGATCGCTCCGATAGGCCGACTCGTCAAATGCTCAAGAGATTCCATGAGGTCACGGATATCCTTGTACTTGGGCCTATTCTTCATTTCCACGTCCTTACTCTTTTCATACAGAGTCTGTATCCGTTTTTGCGCCTCACGCTGCTTGGTCAATATAGCATCGACAGCTGCAAGAGTATCAGGTGAAACCGGGAAACGAGACGCCTGCGCAGAGAGAGCTTCTAATTGCTGATAATGAACGGCCTCAACGGACATTAATTCCTTGGCCTTCATTTCCCACGCATCCCCATGACGAGCAAGCTCCTTGAAATGAACTAAATGTTCATTGGTATCGGATAGGCCGAGCTGCTCCGCGCCAGCGACGAGTTCCCGGCAATCGGTAAGGGTCATATACTGGTCTCGTTTGCGCACAGCTTGTTCAATCCATTTGATTTGGCGGGAAACCTGCTCTAGGTGTTCCAGTTCCGGGACTTCCACGTTGAAATTTTTGCCGCGTTCGATCAGTTCTTCAATCTCCTCAAGAGGTCGGGTATGTGGATGCATTAGGGCATTATTAATATCCTGTTGGAATTTCTCGATTTCGCGGGTTTTCTCTTCCAACGCCGCCATCTGTGGACAGTCGAACGAAAGTTTATCAGCCTCTGCCTGAAGGGCGTAGATATGTTCAATCCTGCGGACTTCGCGATCGCGATCGTCCAGCTGCGCCGCCTTGGTGCTGGCTCTCCGCCAAGCCTTCTCGTTTTTTCTCCGGTTCTGCTGCTTCCGGGTAATGTAGTTGTTGGCTTCTTCAACCCATTTATCGCAACGCTGGACGAAGGCCGCAAGATCTTGAAGGCCTGGCAAGTGGTATGGGATTTTCTCACCTTCATTGAGCAAGTTATGAAGGGCCTTAAGCTGAGGCTTCGGTTCATCCTCCAGGGTCTTGTCGAGCTTTTCAGACCAAGCTTCAGGGATTCTTGCCCGTTCTTGGACTTTCTGCACAAGTGTCTGCAATTCATCATCACTCATGCGATAACGGAGGGTGTGGCCTGGGCCGCACAACTTCTGGGCAAAGGTTTCGCCACAGCAGTCATAGGTGTCCACGTGCAACAAACAAACAGTCTTGCCTGATTTGTGACAACGGAACTGAGTGAGGTAAGCGTAGGCCTTGCAATGTTGACACTGATAATCATCCTCAGGAAGGTCTTCATTCTCAACTACGAATCTTGGCTGTGCATCATCTGCCATAGAATCAGGACCAAAGCCTGGGGTACGAGCAGAGACTTCCTTTTGTCGGTATAAGAAAGCAGCCCGTTCGCCCAATTCACGAGCGCAGGTCCTTGCTAGTGCAGGCGCAAGC